CGGGCAGACTCATCACTAGCATGCATGTAATCAGGCAGACGAGGGAGAAAAGTGGTGTTTTCCAGAAGCTTGCTGGAGCGGTAGCGCAATGCCTCGTTGCTGGTCAAGACAGTGGCTTTTCCCACGGGTGCAGGAATGGACTCGCCACCAGTCTTGCCGCCGGCCTCTGCGATGGCCAAGAACGGATCCTCATCTTCACTTGTGTCGTGCATGCGCTCCCACTCTGCTTGGAGGACATCTCTTGCAGCCATGACACCCACACCTGCACCACCAGCGTCCAAGATTCGGGGTCCACCCTCCTTAGTCAGTAGTCCCTCCAACCATGAGCTGCCCAGACGTTTGCGTGTTTCCACCAGAACGCTGAAGACGCTCGCGTAGATACCGGGCATAAGAGTGGTTGTGAAGATGTCGGCATCCATGTCGCTCATTCTGCTTTGACCAGGATTCAAGGGAATGGGTTTCTGCTGCATGGTCACCGCGCGCTGTGGAGTCGATGTCGAGTAGGGTAGACCAACACCACCGAAAATACGATGGGCAACTTCAGAGATGTGTTTGTTTGGAACACCCGACACCAGGCGAGTAACAGGATCGACGAATGAAGATGCCGATAGTTGTACAGTAGATGAAGGCGTGCCAAATCGGTTGGCCACAGTCAAGGGATGTGCTCGTGTGTGATCGTAAGGTGCGGCAGGCTGTTCCTCCGAGTCCTCAAGTAGCTCTTGCTCTGGGTTCAAGCGCAGGGCGGCCAAGTCGTTGATAGTCTGAGCATCGAGACCTGCTGTAGCGGTGTCCGTATCCAGTTCCGCGTTATCAGCATCTTCCTCTACCAACTCTTGTCCTTCCTCCTCATCATCAAGTTCTTCCTCTTCTTCAATGTATTCAACCTCCTCAAGAACACCATCTTCGTTCTCTTTCAAGATACCCGTGCCAACATTGTCTGTTTCATCCAGTTCTCCTTCCAGCTCATTCTCCTCAAAGTCGACCATCTCATCTCTGGTGTTTCCAACTGGTGGTCCGTATAGACGCTCATAGGCTGTGTATTGCTCGTCGCTCAGAAGATCCTCCGGTAGCGCATCTCCAAATCGCTGACGAGCTGCTCGAGCGACATCTTCGGNGGAGGCATTTGAAGCTGCGGATGCATGGAGAGGATTTGAATCTTCGGTGACAACCGTCTCTACATCGTCCAGCTCAAAGTCTTCCTCTGCGTGCCGCGCTATCTGTTCCGCTTGGAGTTTCTTGTCCACTGCTTGGTTTTGTTCGGTAGATTGCTTGATGCTAGAACTCGACGCAGTATCCTTCTTTTGTCTTGTGGGCTGTTGCTGCAAGCTGGTCCCAGAACTATGCAGGTATCGTGCAAATGTTGGTTGTCTCAATCGTGTCCAGTCTCGTGAGGTCGGTGTTCGAGCTCTGGCATACTGCTTCGCTGCCACTAACGAACGTAGTCGGCAGGTGGTGCATATCGAATGATGGATCGGAGCGAGTGTCATCGGTCGACGTGGTGTAACTACACACAGTAGCTTGATGTTGGCCTAGTGAGATGATTCCAAAAGAACGCGGTCTGCATGTGCAAACGATGCGGCGGCAAATAATTAATGGTCAGCAAAGTCTGCCGGGCGGTGAGTAGCTGTTTCGCGACCGCAACTTGGAGTCGAACTCTATTCCTGCATACACCGAGTCACGCAGAAAGGATGATTGCATCGGATAAGAGTGCTGAGAAGCGAGATTGAAAGCAAGAGCAAGAGCATAAGACTGGCTACATAACAAACTAGAGTAAAACTGCCCCAGAAGCATCCGTTTCCTTTCCTCGAACAAAAGGACAACCGATCGTTGAGTTATCCTTCGCAGAGACCGCCATTCTTTGATAGACACGACGTCTATGCCGTGCCTCTAGCTCGATCCTCCGCTAGTTAATGCTGTTGGTTGTGGTATCAATCTGGATTGTTCGGTTTCTTCCTCTCCTGTNGTATTTCGTCCCCTGATGCTTGANACCTCCCCACAAGCCGCCCTCCAAGTCCCAAGCAACAAAAGCAAANNGCAGAAAGAAGAAAACAGAAAATGGATGGTGGATGATTAGGGGTGCCAAAGGATNGCAATCTGATGTACCGAGAGTGGCCAGGGAAAACTGCAGGTCGACCAGCCGTGAAGCGAGAAGCCTGCCGAGTGACACTGCCAGGTATGAAATCCGAATCCGCTATGCTCTGCTCGAAGCATATGCAACCCGAGATAAGGGTTGGTTGCTAGTAGCCACTCCGAATTGAGCATACTTGTCTGGGTAGTATAATGCCGCCGAGAAACAGTCGGCGTAACCCCCTTATAGCGGAAANNTTGCAGACAACATAAGAATGTGTGGTTGCATCTTTCGCCGTCCGTAAGAGACCCAGGACGGCAAAATTGCATTTGTTCCACACGAGTTGAGTTAAACCATGTCGCTGATCAGAGCCGGTATGTCCAGAAGAACAATCCAGACTCAAATTCGCAACAGAAGACAAGCGATCAGTAGTTGTTGTATCCTTGCTGTTCGACGCCACGCTTTGAGGAGCGGAGTTNGCCTGAGAGGAGCCAGCACGTCAGCACGCGTACCAAATATCCCCCGCGGCAAGCCTCACGCAAGAGCACTCAAACGCAGGGGAGTCTTACAGGATGACGAGATTGAACTCACATTCCCGATCCCTCTGCACGGGGTGCGACTGGGCCACGGCGCTTATCAGTGACGGCACCGGCGGTCTGGCCGGCAGTAGCGGCAGCAGTGCGGGTACGGCCAGCCTTCTCTTCAGCTTCCTCAGCCTGGGGCTGGTTGGCTGCTGCTTGGGCAACGGCCTGAGCGTTCTTCTGGTACTTGTAGACGGTCCAGTCGAAGACGTAGTCGTACTGGAAGCCCTCACGGACGAAGAGGTCGCGGAAGATCTTGCGGAGGTACGAGTAGTCGGGCTTGTCGTCGAAGCGAAGAGAGCGGGTGTAGTTGAGGTAGATGGCGAACTCGTTGGGGAAGCCACGGCAGAGAACCTCGGTGGGAGTGGTCATCTTCTTCTCCATGATGCGGTCGTACTTCTGCTTCTTGGTGGCAGCTTTCAGGCCCTGCCAGGGAAGAGAGCCACGGCAGAAGTAAAGCATCACGTAACCCAGAGACTCCATGTCGTCACGACGGGACTGCTCGACACCCAAGTGGGTGTTGATACTGGCATAACGAGCAGTACCAGTCAAGTTCTTGTTCTCACGGTAAGGAATGTGGAAGTGAGTCTTGGGGTCACGGTACTTCTTGGCCAGACCAAAGTCGATAACGTTGACCTGGTTTCCACGCTTGCCGATACCCATGAGGAAGTTGTCGGGCTTGATATCGCGGTGGATGAAGGACTTGGCGTGAATGTACTCGATACGGGAGATGAGCTGATCGGCCAGGAGGAGCACGGTCTTCAGAGAGAACTTGCGGTTGCAGAAGTTGAAGAGGTCCTCGAGCGAAGGACCCAGGAGATCGAGGACCATGGCGTTGTAGTCACACTCAGTGCCGAACCAGCGGACGAAGGGGATACCAACACCACCGGCAAGAGACTTGTAGACACGAGCCTCATATTCGAGCTGGGGGTGCTTGGCCTTGACGCTTTCGAGCTTGATGGCAATCTCCTCACCAGAGATGATGTTGGTGCCTGTAGGAATAGGTCAGAACGAGTTCGTGAATGAGAGGCAGTGAGCACACATACCAAGGTAAATGTCACCGAAACTGCCACTACCAATCTTACGACCGATGCGGTACTTATTACCGACACGGAGGTCCTATTGTGAGTCAGCGGTGAAGTCGAGAAGCAGCGAAGGGAACCATGTCGTACCATTGTCGTCATGCTTTAGTTGTTGTGAGGGTGAGCCGTCGCTGAGGCGGAAGAGTAGGTTGTGATGGAGATGAAGGAATCTGTAGAGAGACAATGGCGACGTCAGCAAGGCGAAGGGGGTAAGCGGAGACGAGTCCAAGCCAGCGAATCAGAGGGGAAGGAAGGATGAGAAGCAGACAGCGAGGTCGACGAGAGGAAACAGGGAAGCAGAGTGAAGGAACAATAGGCAGCCACGGCGTCCGACAACAAGGAGATGAATGAAGCCGGGTGTCGGTGGAGAGATGCGGGTTGTGATATGCGTGGCAGGCAGCTGACTGGACGGGGGTTGGTGGGTCACGCACCTGGACTTTGCTGGCAGTGGGTGAAGCGACAAATGTCGACGACAGGGCGTGGCAGAAGGACGACGGGGCCAAGAAGAAGTTGGCGGTCGACCTGGATAGCCCTGAGGAGGAGTCGCTGCTGAGAGGGGGGGGCTTGAAGGAGGTGTGAAAGCAAGGTCTTCAGAGAGTCGCGCCCACAGCCCAAGCCCAACGGCTCGCCCGCCAAGCCCGCGATGCCGCCCGGCAGAAACTATCACGATTCCTTGGAGTCTGGCCCTTGTGCTCGACGGCCACTCCGTTCTGGCAGTGAGACTCGCACCTGAACTGGAGCCCAGGCGTAATTGAAAGTCCAGCTGCACAGGAAGCACGCTCTCCGCTGAACATACTGCCGTGACACTGTTCGCACGTCTAGCCTGCTATTCTTTGTTAGGTATTCCACCGTCTCGAAAGATGCGAGGCCACCTATCCATCAGAAACCCCTCCTTGCTTGAGCATTACTTGGCTTATCCCATCACAACCTTGACATCTTTCTTGCTGTAGTTATCTATCTGGCCCGGCATGCATACCTAATCTACTCGCTGTACAAATTGTTGACAGAGTCTATTTTTGAATACATAGTTCAAAGCCTCATCTTCTTAAAAAGTCTGCCGTACGGCCCGTAAAGTAGATAGAATGAAACCTGGAACACAAAAAATCTGAGACATCGGCTTCAAGTAGCTGAGGGCTCAAGCGGCTGGCGTGTAATGTGGCGCTGTCGTTTCTGCTGGAATCCCGTCAGCCTCGCGATTTTTTGACATAATCTGCTTCTACTCTCGAGGGTGCGTGCTTTAATCCTTCACGACACGCACGCACAACCATCATGCCATCGGACCCTCCAGCAAAGAAGCGGAAGACGTCCAAGACCAGCCTGGACTTCGACGTACCGGAAGTTCATGCCGCCTATGTCGAATGGGCAGTTGCGCGAGGAATCAAAATACATGGAGTCACACCGGCTGTGCTTCCTGGTAGAGGTGTTGGCCTGCTTGCAAAACAGAAAATCAAAAAGGATGCCGTGCTGTTCTCTGTGCCGGAGAAAGCCATGATCGTACCAGATGTGGCAACGCTTCGCAAGCACAAGTTGACGAAGTTGTCCTCACAGGCTCAACTAGCCGCATACCTTACCTTGGAGTGGAAGAGCCAATCCTCTACCTACGTTACTTCGAGACCCGCTTGGCCAACACCTGAGGACTTTTCTTCTTGCATGCTTGCCTGGTCTCCGAAGGACGAACTAGAAGATGTGCTACGCAAATGGGCCCCACCAAGTGTACAGAAGCCGCTGGACCGCATGCTGTCAGACTTGAAGCGAGACATTGAATCCGTAAAACACATGCACGCTCCCGACGATGAAGCATTCGAGCGTGAGTTTCTTTACCACTGGATGCTTGTCAATACACGCAGTTTTCACTGGAAGCCTCAAGGTGTCAGCCAAGGTGCCATGATCATGAATCCTGCACTGGACTATATGAACCACTGTCCGAACGGCCANGGGAGTAAGTTTATGAGAACTTTGCGTCTCGCCTCTTACTAAAGATAGCAGTGTGAAGTCACCATGTCACCAGAAGGCTATGAGTTGAAAGCAAACCGAAACTACGGTACGTGCTTTGTGTGATCTGTGATAGCATAGCTAATAGTACGACCATGAACAGAGCCTGGTGAAGAGATATTGGCTACATACGGAGCTCATTCGAACGACAAGCTCCTTGTACANCTGTAAGAACACTGTGTTCCGTATGTGTATTTACAACTAACACACGACATAGATGGCTTCATCCTCTCCAACAGCCTAGACGACGACGAGATTCGTTTGGACCACGTAATACTACCCCGCTTGACGGAGAGCCAGCAAAGTGCTCTGCAAGATGTGGGCTTCCTTGGTGGCTATGCTCTCCTACCAAGCTCAAGTGAATTGTGCTTCAAGACGCAGGTTGCCGTGCGCTCTGTACTTCTGACAGCCAACGAGTGGGAACACTTCATGGGGTCTGGAGAGGACCTTGCAGACGACAAAGAGAATGAAGTGCTCGATTGGCTGAGGCCATCTCTTGAATCATACGTTGAAGAGGCCAAAGAAGCCATTGCATCTCTGCAGCCCCTCTCGAAAGAGAAAACTGGCGACCTTGCCAACAAACTCAAACTTCTGCAATCCAGATGGGAGCAGATCCAGATTGCGCTAGAGGACTTTCTGAAGTGACACACTCTGCGACACAACTGAGCCAGTAGTCCGAGATCAGGGCAACAAAATGTCGTATTCGTCCTTGGGGATTTTGACGGCGTCCTCTCCAATCCCGTACTTACGACGGAAGATCTCGAACACGATCAGGCCAGCGCTGGTTGATGGCACCTGACGCAATGTTGTCATCCAGAAATCCTGATACAGCCATCTTAACCAGCCCCCTGATTTCGTCGCGCGCTTGCCGGCTTGAATCCATGTTTTCTGATATGCTCGAGCATATAGTTGCATAGTGTCGAGTCGTCCCGGTCTAGCCTGTAGCAATTCATCCAGTGTTGCTAATCGCTGGAAGTGAAGTTCCTGTATCCGCGTGAGGGGATGAGCGACGGCTTGCTGTAGCACACTTGCTGTTGCACCGGCAAGGAGTATGAATGAGGGTTCCATCAGATAATGCGGCTTGATCACAGGCCGCTCTTGTTGATCGCTAACTCTCTGCAGTTCAATCTGATGCTTATGGAACATCGAGAGGAGACCATATCGCGAGTACCAATGGCTCACGTACTCATAGAAACACTGAGACTTGATGAACTCGAACGCTCCAAAGAACAGTCCATATCCGAAGGAATCTTTGACAAAGGAAAGCCCCCATCCTGCGAATGCGCCACGAACGCCAATGGTTTGAAGTTTTTTCGACGCGTAATCCCACATGTTCTTATATGTGCCCTGAGTAAGATCGGTTGTCTTAAACCGGATTGTGAGTGCATCCAAGGGTGCCGCAACTATACTCTGGAAAGCACCTGCCGAGAAGCCAGCGGCAAATGTCGAGGTGAAGGGCGCTGGTGGATAGATTCTCTTCGAAGAGTGGGAAGCCGGCTCATAGTAGAGGCCCAGTGCTCCAAGATAGGACGTGTACAGAACTGCTCCAACAGTAACATTTGCCAGCATTGGCGGCAAGACCTGGTTAGGTATGAAAGACCATCCATGGGTTTGGACAGCATAGGCCAGAATTCCAGGAGTGGTCATCTTCCAAGACCATTTCCCACTGGCCTGTTGTAGCAGAGGGTTGATAGCCCTCGGGAAAGNCCTTGGTTAAGTCAGTCTGACGAAACGAAAGTGTCAACCACACAGACGATACATACAAGATAGCTACTCGTCAGTCAGCGTAGATTCCATATATCGTATCAAAATCAAAGTTCACGCTTACTCGATTCTCGTTCGAAAGAATGCTTTCACAGGTACTCTGAAATAGAAAGCGAACATACGTGCGGTCAAGGCCCGCATACCAGCAGCGGAAGCTCCTGTTCGGATTTAGCCTCCATAGAGTCCTCTTCGTTCTTCTATCTCGACCATGGGTATCCTACCTGTTGTTGCATTATTTTGGCGTTTGTCCCCAGGACTGTCTTCTGTATCCGGCCGCTCAAAGGCCTCGGACGAAGGCCTGTACCCGAGAGGCGGCGTACTCATTGCCTAAAATAAAGATGCCGAAGACTATCGTGTATGCATGACTTTGACAAAGAGATCCAAGTCGATGTTGGAGTTTGATCCAATAAACACTGATATGCTTGGCGGTGCAGGGACCGTGTCGGTGACGCTCTTGCATGTGATCCGCCTGGGGTAGAGACAGAGGTTGTAGAGTACAAGCGCACCACCTTCGTCCTTCTACTTTCATTTTCTCACTACTCATCCGCCATGTTTTTCCAAGGTGACTTGCAGAGTGGTATCTCGCAGGCGATTCAGGAGCACAAGCTGGTTGCCTGCTTCGTCAGACAAGGTATGCCAGCTGACACTACATTCATCCTACGCAGTCTAATGAGCTGTCANGATGACGACGAGACAAGCCAGAAGTGGGAGAGCGAGTGGTTGGTTGCCCCTCTTGACGCATCCACAGATGCAGATGGACAGCAGTCATTAGGAGAGCAACTGGGCGACAAGGCAGTCTTGCTTCGAATCAACGCAGGATCCGTAGAAGCTGGATTTCTCGGAGCCTTTTGTTCTCTCGACTCTTTACCGAAGCTTTTAGTCATACGAGCAGGATCCGTCGTCGAAAACATCGACGCAAGCGTCACCGAAGAAGAATTCAAGAAGCGCATAACTGCTCTACTACAACCCCCGACGCAACAGCAGCAGCCACCACAATCGGCCAACCCTATCCCCCAAGATGCCGACACGGCCACCGCAGATGTCAGCCAAGTTTTGTCGAACGTTCCNCTCATCGGCGAAAGAGGGACAACGCTACGGGAATCAGACGCGGTACCTCGGGAGACTGCAGAGACCAACGTCCCCATACCAGCACCTACCAGTCAAGGCAACAATGCAACCATGCAACAATTCCTGACCGAGCGCGGAGCCCGTCTCGAGGCTGATCGCAAGAAGCAAGAGGAGGCAGCAAAGGAGGCACGTAAGGCTACAGCAAAGGCGCGCAAGGAGGAGGCAGACAAGCAAGCTGCCGAATCATCGTCACTGCCTCAGAACAAACAAGATTGGGCCGACCAGCAACGAAACCGCAACAAAGAGGCGCGTCAGGAGAGGGAGAGAATCCTCAAGTCAATCGAATCTGACAAGGCCGCAAGGAAAGAGAAGGAACGACAAAGAAAACTCGCCGCTCAAGGCGAGCCATCTACAGCAGCTGCACAGCTACCAGTACATACTGATACTGCCCCGGGTAGAAACCCCAGCGTTTGCGCGCTTCAGATCAGACTGTTCGACGGTAGTTCGCTACGAACTAAGTTTGATCCTTCCGCGACTCTTGCGACTTCGGTCAGGACATATATTTCACAGAACTCGCAGACAGATGTCCCGTACGAGTTCCGCCAGATACTCCTGCCCAATCCCAGCCGTAACATTTCGGTCGGCGAAGAGGGCGAGTCACTCAAGTCGCTTGGTTTGACACCTAGCGCGACTCTGGTCTTGGTGCCAATCAAAGGCTATACAGATGCTTATGCCAGCGGCAGCGGCGGTCTGGTCTCCAAGGGGTTCAATGCCGGATTTGGACTCTTGTCAGGCGCGGCAAGCATGCTGGGAAGCGCCGTNGGGGGTGTTATGGGCTACGCATCAAGCACAACCGAGAGACAAGGCCCCTACGTAGCCGGAACAGCAGATGCCGGCGAGACTTCTAACGTGGAGGGAGACAGAATGGCCAATAGGTCAGCTGGCATCAACATCCGCACACTTGGTGACCAGAGACGAGAGACGGAACAGAATACTGAGCTATACAATGGCAACCAGGTGAGTACTTTTAAGCAGCCGAGTGCGAAGACAGCGGTGATTGACGGAACACAGCTAAACTTCGAGCCGCGGAAGAACAAGGATGGCCAGGATGCCAAAGATGATTGAATCAGGATGGCTTTAGGGCTCATGGATGCTTGTACATCGAGTCAGGTAAAAGGGCGCTCGATGTAGCCAGACCGATCTTCTCGGGCTGAATGAGTTACTGAGATTTCTGGAGATGGCATCTGCTGCATGAGATGTTGCATGGGTTTGCCATCAAGTGCGAAGAGTCCGGGAACAAGAGACAGGACCACAATTTTTAGTTCGAATACCAAGTCTTGGACAAAGTCTATGAGAAGTGCTCGATGCAGTCCTTGTAGACGAGCACCAGTCGTTGATGTACCTCATACACGTTAGATACATGATAGATGTAGAGAGGATGGCTTGTTTGTTTTTGACGCGAGAGAAACGTGCTCGTATACAGCTATCTCTGTTGTTGGTCTAATTGCGGAGCTGTCGAGCGAGCGTGTTTGTGGGTTTAAAGTTAGGGGTATTCTGGTGCAGCAGGCCATGATTGGCGGGACTAGGACGAGCCAAGTGGCGCTAGAAGGTAGTTTCGAAGGGTCGAGGTCATGACGAGCCAGAGATTGTAGCAGACTTGGGTCCTCAGCGTGGTGGGAACGATTGCGCCCAGCCAGAGCGTAGGCGTTTCAAAACAGCATCCATCGCCGCATGCGCAACGTGTCGGACTCCCTGCGCAGAGTCACGCTCCATGGCTCGCATTAGCCCCGGCTTGTTATCAGGGTGTCAGAAGCGTCCACCTGACAGTTCCTAGTGCCTAGTTTGATAACAGTCGAGTCTCGAGACAGACCGCCCACGCCATAGCCTTACCCCTACCCGCAACGACCCTACCTAGTACCTGCTATCACTATCTGGCGGCCTCCTGATCATCCTTCACGGGGCTCGAGCTACACCGCCCCGGTAGCACCGTATATATCCCTGCCTTGCACTGCGCTGCCGTTCGTCATACCCATATCGCATTTGTACGATTCCATAGCCCTCTGCCATGGTCGCAGAGAAGGACCACAAAGGCCAGGAAGGCCGTTCCTGGCTCCGGAATAAGCAAAATCGCAACTCGCAGACCGACTCGGAGGACTCGCTCAAGAAGCGACCGGCCAAATGGAGCTTGGGTATCCTGAATGACACGGAGACGGACGAGGTTCCTGGTGAGTCCTTCTACTAGCATACTTCCCTGTCCATGTACTGTGACTAACAGCCTNNACCAGGCTCTGTCTTGCTACTCTCCAAAGTGTCGAATCGTAACGAGCCGCTCGGACTCCGCAACACGCCCGCCAGAACCTCGACCTCGTCCTTGCCCTCCCCATTCCCTTACTCGTCACACTCTCGTAACGGATCTCTTGCGCCTCGCTCTCGTACGGGCTCTATGGTGCCCCCTACTCCGGATAAGAAACAGACTGGAGACGGCATCGTGCTCGAACCACAACCCGATGAGTCTCTGAACGACCCGCTGAACTGGCCGAAATGGCGCAGAGATTGCGCTCTGCTGTCTCTAGGTTTCTTCTGCATGCTCGGTGGTGGTATGACTCCTGTTCTTGCTGCAGGCTTCGTCAATGTCTCCGAAACCTACGACGTCTCTGTGCCACAGGTTGCTCTGACCACTGGTCTGTATATGTTGGGCCTCGGTCTTGGTAGCGTTGTAGCGTCGCCTACCGCTATTTTGTATGGCAAGAGACCTGTATACCTCGTCGCATCAGTCATTTTTGTGCTGTCTGCTGTCTGGTGTGCATTGTCTCCCAACTATGCTTCCTTGGTACTTGCACGTATCTTCATGGGCTTCGCTGTCAGCCCTGTCGAATGTCTTCCCTCTGCAACCATTGCCGAAATCTTCTTCTTGCACGAGCGTGCCTACCGACTAGGTATATACACTCTATTGCTTCTCGGTGGTAAGAATCTCATCCCGCTGGTGAGTGCCGCCATTATAGAATCGCTCGGTTGGCGGTGGGTCTTTTGGATCGTCGCTATGGTGGTATCATTCGGTGCCGTCTTGTTATTCTTCTTCGTTCCCGAGACTTTCTGGGACCGCACACCGAGGCCTTCTCGACACTCACACAAGCACCACAGACCGAGACTGATGAGCAACATATCCTTGGCCTCCATCTTCCACCGAGGCCATGCCGATACCCACGCGCACGAGGCCGCGCCTGAATTGGAAAAAGGAGAAAAGCTCGATCTCTCTCACACCGAGAGTCCCACCAAGACAAAGGGAGAGAAGCGATTGTCAAGACATGCTCACTTCAGTGAGCCTGATGATGACGAGATCGCTCCTGAGAACGGCAGAAAGTTGAGCGTGCCAGCTCTGAACCTACCAGCCCTCGAAACAGCCGAGACTCCTGAGCCTCAAACGCCACGGAAACCGCAGGCGGATGCTTCGTTGCAACTTCCTTCCCCGGGTGTGCAGCCTGCCTCTCCAGGATCGCAACTCTCTCCTCAAGCAAGTGCACTATCGCCAGGATCCGCGCATTTCTCTCCTGGAGCACAACACTTGTCGCCAGGAGATGATCCCTTCGTGTCATATAGATCCACATCCGAACACAACCACATGAGATCCAACAGTGCGCAATTCGACAGCGTGCCTCCGTCACCCGGCCACTCTGTGGACGCGAACAACCCCGGCTTGGTATATACAACTTTCTACCGCGCCGCGCCGCCAAAGTCGTTTGTCGAAACTTTGAAACCGTATGCCGGACGTCTATCCCAAGATCATTGGGGCAAGGTGGCCCTTCGCCCGTTTATCTTGTTCGCATACCCGGCCATCCTGTGGTCATCGTTGATCTACGCACTCTCGGTCGGCTGGTTGATCGTACTTTCCGAGTCCGTCTCAGTCATCTACGAGAACCGCGAGACATACCACTTCACCGCTCTACAAGTCGGTCTCGTGTACATCTCCCCCTTCATCGGCGGCATCCTCGGCACCGCCGTCGCCGGCCGCTTCTCCGACGTCATCGTCCGCTGGATGAGCAGAAAAAACGACGGCGTCTACGAGCCTGAATTCCGCCTCATCATGGCCATCCCCGTGACCATCAGCACCGTCATCGGCCTCATGGGCTACGGCTGGAGTGTTTCCGAACACGACGCTTGGATCGTACCCACCGTCTTCTTCGGCATCATAAGTTTCGGCTGCTGTGTGGGCTCCACCACCGCCATCACTTTTGCCGTAGACAGTTATCGCCAATACGCCGGCGAAGCCCTCGTCACCCTCAACTTTTCCAAAAACATTTTTCACGGCTTGGTGTTTTCGCTATTCTTCAACCGTTGGCTGGAAAGTGATGGCACCAANAAGGTGTTCCTTGCTCTTGGCGGCATCCAGTTGGGCTGTCTACTCTTTACGATCCCCATGTACATTTATGGAAAGAGAGCGAGAATGTGGACGGTGAGGAAAAACTTGATGGAAAAGTTTTAAGAGATTCTTTTTTTTTTTTTTTGGAGAGATGTTTGATGATGGTGGTGATGATGGAATCTATGAGGATGATGTCTTTTCTTTCGCATATATACTATGTCATGCCCGCGCATGATAGATGACGGTGTTTGGGGTTCTGCATGGTCAAGGATATTTATATACCCCGGTTGGGAGGCTGTTATAATCAGGGGTTTCTCATTTCTTTTTCGATTTTTGATATAGTTGATTGAAACCTATCTTTCTCACAAGACACATATGTTTGAAGGGCTCAAGGGTTTAATAGGACGATACAAGGGGTTTGTTTCCGCTGCCTGAATTTGTTTAATCCCCAAGTGCTTGTCAGTGTCAATCATGAATCCTCCCCATCGCCCTTTGCACGCCCGAAACTCCTCGAAAAGCAAGCAAGAAAACACCCTCCTGATAGGAAAGCTTACAAGCATTAAGCGTAAGTTGTGTCGTCTATCGCTTCTTGGGCTTGCCACCCTTGGGAGCAGGACGCCTGTCCTCGTCGTCGAGGCCGCTTTCGCGATCGCGCTTCTTGGCCTTCTCCTCCATCTCGTCCCAATCCTCGCCACTCTCGTCTTCACTCATCTCCTCCTCACTAGCATCAGCACTTGCGTCGTCGTCAAAGTCCGACTCGTCTTCGCTGCTCTCGTCGCTGGCGAGATCCTCTTCGCTGACCTCAAAGGCACTCTCCTCTTCCTCGCTCTGTTCCTCGTCGTCTGACTCGGCAGCGAGGAAGGACCAACCACCACCAGCAAAGAACTCATGAGGATCGGCTGTAACGGTCTTCATGATGGTACCCCAGTTCAGGTTGAGAGGACCCTCTGAGTAGGGTGTATCAATGCTGTCCAGCCAATCCTTGACACTGTCAAGCGACTCGACAGGGATGGTGTTGATGTGCACCGGAGGACGCTGGAAATCCTGGAAGACAATGACCATATCAAAGTTCTTCAGGCCGAACTGAACACGTTCCAAATGGACGATCTCGATGTCGTTGAGGGTGATAACCGTGAACGGAGGCTCGGTAATCTGGATGAGACACTCAGTAGTAGGCTGGATGTAAACACTTGAACGAGCAGGGACACCGTTGAAACCCAGATCGCGGTAAGGCATGTCGACTTGCAGGTTGTCGCCTTTGCCAGCGTCGGCGATCTTCTCGGCGAATGATCTGAACTCCTTGTCGAGCTGGACACGACGTCTGCGCTCTTCCTGTTCTGCCTCGAATTCTTCTTCATCACCATAGCGATGCTTACGCTTACGGTTGCCCGTCTCGTCGAATTGCATCTCTGTGGCTTCACGGTAGAATTGAATGTCCTTGGTCTTCCTCTTACCAATCATGATAGGGTTGTGCAAGTGGCAGTGGATGATGACGATTAGTTCATGCTGCGAGGGTTGGAAGAAAAGGTGCTTGATGTTGCTGAATAGAACATCAACCTTGACACCACCCATATGAGCATACCGCAGACCGTTCTGATGGATCTCAACCGAGCCACCAATACGCTTGCTCTCCAATGAAGGACGCATGAAGATGTTGTCGAGACGTTGAGGTCGGCGATTTCTTATTTCGACGAGCTTGTCTTGCTCGACAACATCCTCGAGATCCTTCTTCTCCTGTTCCTTGCGTACTGCGTCCTTCTTCATATCGGTGATTTGTGCGACGATGGTGTTCATTCTGTCAGTGTCCTTGGAACGGAAGGTCAAGCTTCGGAGGAAGTGAGCCAGGGGGTCCTCGAAAGGTTGATCATCCTTTCTTCCAACACCCTGACCAGGAGACAAGAAGTTGATACGCAGGAAGGAGAAGGCATTCTCCTCCGTCTGACTGACGTTCTTGATTGTGTTGATGTGGAATGGAACAGCACGTCCCATGATAGGTAGAATGATGCTAGCATTCTTGACGTCGACCAAGACAATGAGGTCCTTGACGCGCGAAGGGAACTGGTTGTCTCTCTTGTACGACTCGAAGCGCTTGAACTTCTTCACCTCTGTACCGTTTAAGTTGCCAGTGCCTTCACCGTACTTGTCCAGACCTTGTTGCTGCTTCTTGGAATGGAGTTCTCTCTGGTGGTCCTTGCGTTGAGCCTCCTTCTCCTCGTTAGGCTGTGTACTGCGCTCGCTGCGTAGTCTGGTACTTGTGATGTTTCCCTTTGCGACGGCGCCGACACGAGAGTCCTTCTTCGGCTTGGGCTTTGCCTTTTCTGGCTCATCCTCATCGTCCTTGAAGAAGAAGGACGTCGACTCGAGATCAGATGGAGCATCCTTGGTGAAGACCAACCCCTCACTACCGCCTACTCGCACGGTGTCGGTAAGCAGCAAGGAGTATGTCTTGCTCTTGTTGTCCTGAGGATTGGGGTTCTCGATATCGTGGAAGCCGGTAGTAATGCTGAAAGTCATTCCATCGCGCAGAGTCTGAGTGTTCTTTCCATTCATGGGGAACGAGCTGTCGCGGGTCTCAATACCAATTCCGTAGCCGACCGATTTGACGAAGTTCTTTTCGAGCTCAGGCTTCTTTGACTTGATAAGACCGACAGCCTTGGCGTATACGTCCTTTGCGACCATGCCATCTTTCATGTTCTTCAGGATGCTGTCGTGAACGGCAAGCAACAACTTGTAGGCGCTCTCCTGAGACTTGTTCGGGTCAACCAAGTAGGTTCTTGAGATGATGGAACAGTAACTGAGGTAGCGCAATCCGAGGGTGGACAGAATAACACCGGCGTGCAGATTGCTGTCGTCAGCCTCGGCTGAGAGTTTCAAGTCATATTTACCGCCACTTTGTACGACAGGTGAGATAGACCAGTCCAGCTGGGTGGGATCGAAACCGCTCGAGACCTTCAGCTTCTGGAAGAACTTGTCGTCCTCGATTTTGTCGGTGATCTTTTGTGAAAGTGCCTTGTGGCTCATCTTTTTCTCCTCGTCCAGAATGCCTGACATTTGATCAACAAAGTAGTTGGCCATGATGCCACTAGATGCGCGCGAAGCATCGCGAATTGCGCGCAACTCCTTCTCGTCCTTGATGCTGAGAGCGGCCGAAATGGCGGAGGTGATGTCTACCTCTTCGACGTCCTTGGAGATGGTTCCGAAACTATCCTTCCACTCCTTGATGAAGGGGCCGTTCGACGGGTCTTTGGAAATAACACCGACTTTCTTCTGTAGCATATGTCAATGGAAGTAAGTCTAGGGGTGAGATGCAAAACGTACACCGGCATTCTTGATGATGTCTAGACAGGTTTCGAACTGCTTTGTGTTCTCGGCGGCATCCTTGCCTCTGACAAGAATCTCCACGGGTGTCTTGCCATCCTTGAGGGGTTCGAGGTAGGTGGCNNTGCAAGAGTTAGCGTCCGGCAAACGACAAAAGCTACTGCAGAGATAGTTACCCTTCTTCTTCGTGGTGACAATGTGCATGGAATCCTGGGTAATGACAAAGACGGTCGAGGGGAACTCGTAGCCCAGCAGCCAAAACTGAAGAGCACTCGTCTTCGAGAAGCCCTGGGACTCATCCGACTTGCCCATGACGATGGCGATGGATGAGGCGCCTGCGAACAGGGAGTCGCCATTGCGCTTGTCCTGCCTCCATTGCGAGATGAAGGCCGAGAGGCGGTTGTGGAAGGTGGCCTTGTCGATCGTCACCTCGTCGGCCATTTTGGCAGCGCGCTGTCACGACGGATAGGCTGGGTGGGCGGAGATACAGGTGAGGAGAGATGTGATGGCGGACAAGGCAATGTCAGATGTCGAAGTGGAGCGTGTTTGGTAGCGGCGAAGCGCAAGTCGAAGTTGCGACGGGGTGCTTTACGCGTGTGTCGCGGTGTCGTGTTTCGCAAACGAGTTGGACTTGTGCAGGGAATAGAAGAGGGTGGCGCTCAAGAGATGTTTTGGTTGCTTCCAGCTCTCTTGCTGCCTAGATCTTCACAAACGGAAAGAGCAACACGACAAGGAAAGTGAAGATGTTGTTGTTGGTCGAGAAGGTGCGATTCAAGTCTATCGAGCAGTCGGCTTGGCGCGTGTCACCAGCGTGGAGCTCCAAGTAGGAAGTAGCGGGCGAAGGAGGAAAGAGCCATGCACATTCGAGAGCTGCCACCACCCCCAAAATGTCGCTCCGACCGTCGCCTATCTTGCGCCAATTGGCCTCACTATCCTCTCGCCCTCGCATACAATCACAAACTACTCCGTGGATCTGTCGACAATGCCAGAATTCCCGTCCCATCTTGCAACGAAGACGCTACGCCAGCCAGCCCGCTGACGACCCATCTTTTACTTCAATTGTCGATGTCCAACCTCAACTTGTTCGCGTTGGTGGCAGAAAGCACGGCTGGGGCCTGTTGGTCTTGGCCATCATCCCAATCACTGCTTTTGCCCTTGGTTCATGGCAGGTCGCGCGACTAGGATGGAAGACTGAACTCATCGCCCGCTTCGAAGACCGCCTCGTGCGCGACCCTCTGCCTCTACCACCCAGTATCGACCCGGCTGCCATCAAGGACTTTGACTACAGAAGAGTCTATTCCACTGGCAAGTTCCGCCACGACCAGGAGATGCTCATCGGACCCAGACTGAATGACGGTAACGATGGCTACATGGTCGTCACACCTCTCGAACGCCAGTTTGAAGGCTACTCTGGCAACACAAAGATTCTCATCTGCCGAGGCTGGATTCCGAAAGACAAGGCGAGCCAACGTGCTAGACCCGAAGGCTTACCACAGGGCGAAGTCACCGTCCAGGGTTTATTGAGAGAGCCGTGGAAAAAGAACATGTTCACACCTGATAACAAGCCTGAAAAGGGCGCTTTCTACTTCCCGGACGTTCAGCAAATGGCTGACCTGACGGGCAGTCAGCCTGTATGGATTGAAGAGACCATGAAGCCTGACCTTGTCGAGTCATACGATAGAGAAGCAAAGGGAATTCCTATCGGAAGACCGGCCGAAGTGAACCTTCGAAACAACCATACACAATACATTTTCACATGGTCAGTCTATTGTCTCTCCTGTTACTGTCATGTCCATACGGATGTTAACGACTACCAGNNGTACTCTTTGGCCGCTGCTACATCTGTCATGCTCTGGATGGTTGTAAAGAAGCCTGCATCTCGTGCAGCTCGCAGAGTCCGCCAGTCAGGTCAATGGTAGATATATACATAGTTCAGCTGCCTTCATTTGGCCGCCATCAGCATCATGCGAGTGCGAGTGCAATGTATACTATTCGATCTGCTGTATCGTTGTCAACAATGCACGTGAGTCTCGGTGATGAGCATATTCGGAGAGAGCCCAAATTGTTGTGGAGGTACAGTCGAGCGCGGCATTGCCGATTTTCAAAGGAACCGCTTGATCTCGTCATGATATGTTCGTGTTGCATATCTTTCTTTATATACATTCAAGAACCAAGATATCAGTGCCATACCGCCGTTCTCGAGATGAGATGGTCGGTGATATTTATCTTGAGCCGGGTCATAGCAGAAGCATCGGCCAACGCGCTAACGCGGCTCGTTCCTTGGCTGGTCATCGCAACGACCTGCCTTTTCACCTCCGTCGCTCTCGTGATTAGATCTTTAGAGTCCATCAAACAAACCACAGCACTCACGTAAATGCCTTCCAAGTCGATGCAATAGCTTTGTGAGAATCAACATACAATGTTGTACTAGCAAACATGTCTTTCGAGCCACCATCTCAAGGGAACGCGTCTAGGCTTCTTCCTCAGCCAGGATCGTTGGAGTACATAAACAGACCAAACCCCGTTGAACCCAGTGATCTGAGCCATGGCATTTTCGATGGAAGTACTCGCGAGCTTGACCGGACGGCTAACGAGCAGCTACACCCGTTTCTGCTAGGCAATCGATTGCGCCAACGTAACGATCTTGGAGCAGACGCCATACGCCTTGCAAGACGCTCACCTCACCAGTCATCCTCGCTCGCTGCCGTGCTCAATGTTGAAGACTCGCCTCCTAGATTGGGGGAATATGCTTCCCATCGAAGAGTTGTTGACCAAGCAGTCTTCACATTACCAAAGTTGCCAACAAAACGACATGCGAAACGTCACCGTGTACCTCCCGTTCTGCAAGGTCTCCATCAGCCTCCGCCAGACGCTGGTCTTCTACCTTCTATCAGTACAGAGGAAGCACAAGTCTTTCGCTCCACTTCGAGGAGCAGCAAGCCTGCAGCTACTACCACTTCCACTGACGAGACGACTCCTGCTGTGACTACGCAAGAAGCTGTAGTAACCATCGAAAATACTACCCAGGGGACATCGGATAAGCGTTCTCGACGCAATCTGTGGACCGATAAAGAGACCAACGATCTCCTAGCCGGAGTGTCTAGATTCGGCATTGGTAATTGGAAAAAGATACTGCTCTGCTCAGACTATCAGTTCCACAAACGGACGGCCGTAGATCTCAAAGACAGGTATGGATGGATGCTGGTTCTTATCCTCGTGCTAGACTTATGTGTTCACAGATTCAGAGTTTGCCGCCCTGATGCTTACGGTGGTGCGAGGAAAACTCGAAAAGCCAAGAGAGTCTCACCTNNGAGGAAGCTGAACCCGCCGAAAACCCCAAGAAAGCAAAGACAGCAAAGACAGTAGACTCAACACCAGTAGAGGCCNCCGAAGGATGCTGATCCACAGATCAAGCAAGTCGGCAACACAGACCAGACTTTATGGAAGGCACAGCGCCGACCGAGACGCAACTTCACAGATGAAGAAGACCAGGCTTTGCTCAAGGGCTTCCGGGAGCAAGGCCCGTCTTGGGTCTCCATCTGCAAAGATGAGGCGTTCAAAGAGCACGGCCGAACTCCAACAGATTTGCGCGATCGACTGAGGACAAGATTTCCAGAAAGATATGCACAAGCTGGTCTAGCGTCTCGGCCAGCTGTTCCCAAACCTGCCAAACGAACTCGAGCCACACGGGAAGAGTCAGAGAAGCCTGCAGAGCCAAGTCAGACTCTCACACCTACTGCTGCCTCCTCGAAAGACAGCCAGACAAAGCCACCCAATGACAGATTGGAGAGGACAAGCTCGCGCACCGGCCCCACGTATACACTACCTCTACCTAGCATTGGAGACGATTCACTTCCGGGTTTCGGCTATCCCGACGACGACGAGGATGCGGATCCGATTGTTTTGGATCGCAGCATTATGGATTGGGCGAACAACAACATGCAACAGCCTAACCGCCAGTCACACTCACACGCGTCTGACAACCTTCCATTTCCTGGCATCGATCCTCTTGTCACGTTGAAGCTGCCCAAACCTGGCTTCTTCTGACAGTGCTGTATACATTTCTTCTGTGCCAGAGTTCGCAAGACAGATAGCCATACAGGTGCACAATGGTTCGAGAGACAGCACGTTCTACTGAGGGATGTCATCGCGTCGACTCTCTGGAATGATCTGAGAATAGGACTGCTTCTGTAGCGCATAAGTATCGCTCTACATCCCCACAGCCCGTGCGTCCAGACTTGACCTCTCCGTGTGCTGAAGCCGGCCACAGTTCAGCTATACGAATGCGCAAGACTTTCCATAGCACAGCAAGATTCACGAAGAAACAGCAGTTTTCCTTGGAAATCTCTATGGCCACACCTCTTTTTGAAAAGCAACTGTGCATTTTTGTAGGAGATCATATCATTACGCGCCAACGTGGGAGAGTGGTCGATCGCCAGGTTGTGACTTGTAGATGCGTCCGATACAGGACCGACGAAGGGTCATATGCCTTTGAGGTGGACTCATTGACAGTCTTGATCATCTTTTGCAATCTCCTATCGTCATTAATGTTGTATATACATTCTTTGCCATCTTCGCCCTTCCATGTCTACTCGAACCACTACGAATTCTCCGTTGGCAGCGAACAATCGGTGTCCAGCATTGTTCTGAGCTTCTAAGAATATCGATGTTGATATTCTCGCCTGTCTTGGAAAGTAGCTGGTTTACCATGTCCTGAAATCGAATCGAGAAGGTGCGGTATTTGCACCATGCTCGTCTGACAATCGACTGCCTGCATTGTAGATTGCTTGGACTTCTTCAAGAGCAGAGAAAGCGCAGCGTGAACGTAGCGCTTTTCGGCGGCGTCTTTGTTGATCGAATTTCTATTGGGACTTTCCTCAAGGTCGTCAACCTAGTTTGACTCTCTCGGGCATCATGTTGAGGATGGCATAAGCAAAGTTGTTCTATCTATACTCGCGGCCTCATAGATCATTAGATAATTCAACCAAACCCTACCATCTCTCTCTCCAAGACTGATGTATCAAGTCCAAGTACCATTGGCAGGACCGAAGAAACCACTTGCCGGCAACGCAAGATTTGAGACCCNCACCGCGTCAAGCGTATTGGCAAATACTGTGGTGCCCCACCAATCCGGCATCGAGTAGCCTGGGTAGCTGACTGCGAAGAAGATGACGATACCTGCCACAGCTGTTCCTGTATCGACGGCAGCTGCGAGGACGTNACTGATCTTTGTTAGCTACTGACATGGCAAGAGTTGGAGAGGGAGAGAAATAGTACTCACATTGTACTTTGTCCACCAGGCAAAGAAGTTGTTTCTGATGTAACCGTTGAAGATCCAGTTCACCAATGCCCACGAAGTGTAGTTGATGCCNNTAGCGAATCACATAGAATTAGCATATAGAATCACGAAATTTTACATGGGAGAAATTCACGTACCTGTTGCGGGGGGTACATTATAAGTACCAACGAAGAACAATGGCCAGTTGATGTCCTTGAAGATCTTCTTTCCTGTTTTCTTGTACGCGTACCAAGTAATCACAGGCGTTAGAGCACCAATCCAGAAAAAGTGCAAGAGGGGCGAGTACCGTTTTCCTACACTGTATAAACGATCTGGTCCGATCAAACCCCAGATCACGGAGGAAGAAAACACTGTTCTTCCGTTGGGACAGGTGAATGAAGAGCTCTGCGAAGAAGAGCAGATGTCCGGAATGTTGCCGAGCATCCAGAGAGTTACGCCTGTTTGGGTCAAAGCACCCAGGATAGCGGCGAAGCCTTGGGCAAAGAACACGGTCCGGGGATTTAGCTTGAGGTAATGCCCGAGCTTCATATCCTGCACGAAGAAGATGCCTTGATTGACGACCGCGGTTGATAAAATCTTAAAGATCATGTTGGCAAGAGGTTTACCCGCAAACATGTAACCGCCGATGAACTCGGACAAGACGTTGATCTGATTGGCGTCGACGTTCGAAATACCTTGAATCAGAGCGCAAGGAATGAAGTAGATGGCAGGAATTACAAGAGCCAACGCAACACCATAAATGGGAAGATCGGTGTGATAAACCTCGACCATGACACATGATAAAGCTGTGAAAATCACTAGAACGATGAGATACCAATACCAAGGAGTTGGCTTGTAAGCTTTCATCAGACGTCCATGAATATCGAGCTTCCTGGTTCCGCGAAGGGCTGTCCAGATTTCTGTTCCATGCCAGAGATAGGTATGTGTCAATACCGCAGTGATGGAGGCGAATGACAATCCATATACGAAAGCGAATGTTGCACTGAGAAAAGGAGGCGAATATGCGCGATAGGCTTCAGGATCAAGGCTTTTGGTTAGAGGGTTGATGATCCTGGTAACATTGTAGTTGGCGCCAGTGTTATCGTACACGTCCGCAGTCATCATTGGCAGATAGCCAGTGTACCACTTGTTGGTGTAGTACAATCCTGGCGTTATGATTAAGAAGAAGAATACAAAGCCGGCTAGGACATTAAGTGCCGCACTCAAAGGACTCAGGAGCGGATTGGTATTATAGGCGACCTGCGACCAGTCGAAAGTAACTGGAAAAATTCCTAGCCCTGTTTGCATCCCAAAGATCTGATTGACCACAGCGTTGTTTGGTGCGATCCAGCAAACCCAAGTAAAGTAGCTCAAGGCAGGCATGATTAGACCTGGGAACCAGTACCACACGAATGCGATAAGCAGGGCAAGGAAGAAGAACCGAAGGCGAGAGATCTTCCAGCCATTGGCAATAGCGTTCGACTTTGAGTGCAGAGTGGAGAGCAAGGCGCAGTTGCCCAAAATACCGGGCCAGATAATTGAAGCAGGTTCCACGACCCAACGAGATCCAAGACCAGCAACACCGAATCCGAGAAGTTGGGTACACATGACCATGAGTACAGCCAGTCCAGCAGACAGATCAAAGTCATAAAACTTCTTTGCAGCTTGTATCATGTTGGAAGCGTCAGAACCCGAAGCGAAGCCTATCGTTACGTTGGACATGATGGTGATGAGAGCATGTTCCTTGATGTTCTGCGGAGAGATCAGTCATGCTCACGTGAAATGTTGATCATATAGAAACTCACAAAATGNACGATCCGGGTTGATGTTCCACTTTCCGAGAGGCCCGAGATCCAAAGTGTATATGGGAAGGATATGCGCTAGAGCCACTCCCATAGGGAATGCGAGAAGCTCAGCAACAAGTGAGACGATGTGTACCGCAGGATAACGCAAAGAGAAGAATTGGTTAACACCAGATCCGAGCATGGTCCAGATTATGCCTACAATCCACATCCTGAGAGTGTTCAATGGCATGCTTGGGTCATCTGTCTCCGGAACCACGGCACGAACTAACACAGAGTCAGCAGCAGACTCTTAAGCGTGAACCAAGGCCCAAATCGTACCTTCAGGGTACGGCGACGTATCAGCGTCCACATCTTTTATCTCTCCATCATGCAACACTTTGTCAACATCTACCTCAATCTCCTGAAGGTGACCGTGTTCAATGTCGGTCACATCAGCCTCAATGCCAGCTTCGGCACCCTTTCTGTCAAGGCCATCTGCAGGCTTTTGAGGCTCTAAAGTGTTCAGCTGCACGGAATCTGTATCCTGGCGAGAGATTGGGAAGGGCCGCCTAATCCTGTTCATCATCTCTGTTGTAGACAGGAAGGCAGAGAGATTGGGAGCGGGTGATTACCTATGTCATGGGTGCTACGATCACTTATACCTCTTCTACATGTCTATCGGAGAGGTACCATCATTGGCCCGCGGCAGTGACCATAGTCCTTATCGCGTTGTGGTAGTATCGTTGACTGCCACCAGCGATCATAGATAGGCAACTCGATAAGACATGTGAAGGATGCGCTAAGCCTTATAATTGCCCTATTGGGGTTAAGATGTGCATGTCGGCTAAGGACAAGCTGCGGCCAAGGAAAGGGCAAGCGTCTTCGCCGAATAGGCAGAGGTTTCGATTCTAGGTACGCTGATAGGTGTTACCTAGAGGCATTGTTAACGGAATGGAGTGGACACCTTGGCTCAGGAAGACGCTGAACAAGAGTTTGGGGACAGAACGACAGTCAGGGTCACACACAGCTTACATAAGCATAGCTTCTCATCAAGCCGGCCAACATCTTTAGTACCTAGGTCCACGTCCACCATCTGCGATGTTCACACGCCGATTTCACCTCACTTCCTTCTCCTAGGCCGGACCTATACCAATCATGCCAGCTTTCTGCACATGTCAGGACAACCAAACATTCTCATGTGTATAGCAAAGCACAATGACCGTATATGTCGGTTTGTTTGTCCGTTCGCTTGCCTCCTACCCAGTGTGTCCTCCCCCATCCCCATTATGTACAATTGTTCAAGTCTCGAGGTCAATGTCTGCAATAACGGCATTTTATAATTATAATGTCAAGCCCTGTTCGTCCTTTCGGAAGCGTTTTGGTCTCTTTGCTCTTCCTTCTTGCGACTTCCCTCTTTTCCAAGCTGCTTCTTTTCTATGACACTCAAACCTGTCTGGTGACAATTATGGTCTTGTTCTCATCTTGTTTCTATCTGGAGTGGTTCACCCAGTTCATCGATGACACTTCTACGACGTCAAGGTCATGATAGATGTTGCAGCGATGGCGACCAAGAACATCAATAACCAAATCTTGTACGCAAAGATGCATGACAGAAGGCCCATTCTCGTCTCTATGGGAACCAACGCACTCACAAGCAATTGGCCCAGATTCACCGAGTTCCTTCGGCGATATACGCTATAGTACGGTCGGCTTGATATTGCGCTCCGCGTTACAGAGGCCGAGAGAAATGGCCGCCGCCACGACACCATGTCCATCGTATGTCCTGATCAACTTGGACATGAGTCTCTTGGCTTCTACGATGCACATGGGATTGTCCGCCATGATGCCGGCGAACCAAACGAAAGGGTCGAGCAGTGGAGATTGATGTTGGACAGCAACCGCGATCGTGCAATTCATGTGATTACGAGCACTAGGGACTTTGGAGCTACCCGCGTCGAATTCTTGAGAAGGAAGCACAAGAAGATGAGAGTGAGTATATAGGTAGTCGAAGTGGCACCATAAGCAGATGGATATTCGATACGGGCTTTTCATTACTTCTAGCTATTTGTCCACATCGAACCTCATCCAACCTCCTACTCTTTCACTCTGATCTGTTAGACCAGCAATCCCTTTGGGTCAACACGAGCAATACAAGCTTCTGTGATTGCTGCTATATGAGCCTTTGAAACGTGGATCTTCTCGAGGCCTATGACGTGGCCTGGATTTCGCGATCGTCCGTCGTGAATGTGGTCAGCCATTTGAACACATGTTCTGCCAGACTTCAGTCGTCTGCATGTTCTCTGAACGACTCGCGTGTTGCAATCTCCTGCAGACCCAATTGAACTCTTTCTACGTGTCTATCGACATCAAGAATCTCACCATGTCTGTCGACAAACCTCCAGTGTGTATTATTGCACTCATCTTCGTCTGCGATCATTCATCCCTGTCTTCTTCCATGGCGAGACGCATGGAATGCGTCGAGTATAAGAAGTTCATCGAAGAAAAGAGACGTCCAGTGTACAAAGCTTACAAGTGTCATGACAACGCTCAAGCCAGAGACTCGAATTTCGAGTCTTGGAGAAGAGTCGTTATCTTCATCAATGCTCATGCCTTCAGACAACGGGTCATATGGTAAGTTGCGAGCAAAGAGTGCACGCAAGAAACCTTAAGGCAGCAGTTAGGCTGTAGTTACAACGACTGAAATATCAAACTTATATGGCTTGCTAAAAGTGCGGCGATGGCCCTACGGGATTCTGAAAGGGTGCATTTCGGCTCTTATATTATCACTTCTTCATTTGCTGCCAAGTCACAAGAGTAGTTCTCCACATGCGATGAGACGCTTCACTTCTACGAGCGAGAAGGGAGTCCAGGTTGTAAGAAACAGAGAATGGTCCGGCGCTTGAGAACAAAGACGCTCGGAACCATGTCCTACGGCTTTTCTGACGATGCTTCACTGATTTCACCACTCATCTTATGCGGCCTGGTTTCTGTCTTCTGTTATTCTTTCAATCCGTCTACACAGTTCAATTTGTCTCTTCAAGTTGTTCTGTCCCCCGGTAGCTAGAACTCTCTCCGAGATCATCACCAATCTTTCTCCTACTACTCCTACTAGTCAAACTAGTCTTTGTCCAATCACTGACTCACTCATTCATCCTTCCTGGGTGTCTCAACTCCCATAACTGACTCTCATATGGCCTGCTCAAACTGACATCTGAGCCATTACTAACGACTTGAAGGGAGTGTTGCGCTTCATCTGAAGCCAGGTCACACTACGCTTCACTTACGAGAATCAACGCGATACTTGGAGTTACCCATCAATTCCTGACTAGTCAGTCTCACACATTGGGTCCCACACTTGGTTCTGAAACTCTTTTACGAACACTCTCAGCAACCCCTCTCATCGGCAATCCATCGCCGACACTTCATTACAGCATCTACCAAGGATCAAAACGACCCTGAATCGCGAACCATACCAACTGCAAATCTGGAAGCTTCGCAGTCATGCCTACCGGACAGACTCAGTTGAAATATGGTCCGCCCGAGAAGGCGCTTGAACCCCTGGACATCAAAGATACGGGAATCATGATGGACCCTACAACTCCTGGTGTCAAGATTAGAGCGCATAAGATACTATCTGGAATCATGTTCTTCGAGATCGACACGGAGCCAAGGACACTGGGATCAGGACGTATGGCTTACGTCCGGAACTATTTAGTGGCAGGAGAAGATCTGCACCAAGAAGGTTGCATTGCTGCCATGTACATCTCGGACGGACTGAGCTCGAAGACAGGAAAACGTTGCCTTATAACCGTCCATATGAGGAGCGTTTGGGATACCAGAGGCGGAGCCTCAGAAGTTGCGTGGTGTTCGACTCTTCAACTCCGTAGGTTGACGGAGTACAAGAATCCAAGTGCAAGCTGTAAAGCTTTCAGGAGGAGCCGTACAGACTACTGCAGAGAGCTGATGATGCTGTTCGATGACTCCATATCCTTCAGAAATCAGGCTTGGCGAGCGATACAGGTATGAGATGATGCTATAGGAAACCTGATTTCTGACCGAATTTCTAACGAACTTCAGAACGTGATCGACAGATACCAGCATTTGTTACCTGAAAACAACAATCAACACAGGCCAGAGGTAGTCAATGACGGACCCGGTGATGATGATGACGACGACCAGGACGACAATCCAGGCCCGATTTATGCACGCTATCGCGACGGCGACGACGACGACGACGACGAAGAAAACTTCTATCGGCGCACCAGACGCGCTCGCTTGCGTAGATCCAATACGCGCGATTTGGGGATTAAGAACAACAGAGACGAGCCACGGGAGGATGACCAAGATCGTGTTGATGTCGTTGAAGATGTTGATCGAGACTTCGACATGGAAGACTACATGGCCGTTGTTGACGAACTTGGGTTCAATGACCATGACAATCGCTCACCCAGTCACTCTTTCGTCCCTCATTATAGAGAAACTTCGCCTGAGATCAACACTACGGTTCTGACTCGAACCGACAACGATGATCTCGACATGGACTTGGATTCAGTGGAGCATGTCTTCGATGTTGACACCAAGCGAACCATCACTCCCCGATCCCCCGTCCAACCCAAAATCGAGCTCAAGGACGAGCCTGAAGTAGAGGTCATAATTGTGATTGGACAGACAAGGCTTTTCATTGACCTGACAGGGGATTCCGACATGACAGACGACTCTGTTGACACCAACAGTGGGGTTGCTGAGGTGATCGATCTGACTCAAGATTCAGATGTCGTGGAGGAAGGTTCGGCCATGGAGGTCATCGAACTTGATCTCTGAAAGATCGACAGCGACTCTTGCATCTCCTTTAGCCAGGACAGAAAGCTCACAGGACGTCGAGCTTCTAGTCGTAATCTCCTTTTCCTTTTTTTTTTTCCTTTTGTACAGACGACACAAGATTCTCAAGGTCCAACAAGAGATCTTATTCATATCGCAGGAGACTATGCTCTCCGAAGAGTAGGGACGACGCATTTCCTACATTGAAACAACAACATCAGCATATAACATCGAAAAAGGTTATCATCACGTTTGACATTCGATCGTTCTCATTCTTGTACATGGTGATAACCCAGCTCTTTGCAGGCGTCATTGTAGGTAACAGATGAGAACAGACGTGATCGTCATGGCAAATATACCGAGCTTCATACACTACGCTCATCCTTGTGCAGTAAAAGCACAGCCTTTCCTTGCTCAAGGTCTCCATCTCCAACTAGGGTGCTTCCAATCCATATCCTGCTGCTCAAGAAGAGTAGTACCGGCCAACTCCTGATCAACATCTCTGCCATCTCTCTTCTTGTTGTCCCTCTTCATCCAGAAGAACAGCACAATGCACAAGCACAATCCAGTACTGGCAACGGCCAAGTTGAGTCCATTGCCAATGTGGTAGTTGGGGCCGTCAAAGGGAAGGAACGACCAGGTGGCGATTAGACCACCGATGTTGCCGAACATGACGTTGGTGCCGATGGCGGAACTGCGTGCGGTGTCTGAGACTACGTTTGCACTGACTTGGGCATTGCAGAGCGAGCCAAAAGCGAATGCACCGCTGGCGATAATGAAAGTTGCGCCGTAGCGGACGGCGGCGGTCTCAGTGGCCAAGAACATGATGCTGTTGATGATGGTTAGCGCAGGTTCGAGAGAGGAACAGCGTGTTATGATGTAACTCACTANTCCGATGATGATCAGAGGGGCCGAACAGATTAGAATGGGAAGACGGCAGTCCAACTTTGTGCTGATGAATGGGAACATCAAACAGAAGAAGCCGCCAACAATGTAAGGCGGAACAGTGTGAAGCTGCTGGCTGACGACTGTGTTGTGAGGGTAGATTGTGCGAACGATGGTAGGCGCAAAGAAAGCCAGACCTTGTACAGTGACATTGTTGAGCAGGAAGATTGTAGCCGTGCCCAAAGTAACAGGAGAGAAGATGCCCTTGAAGATCTTCTTGCGGTCGAATTTGTCCAGAACCTCGGTGGCTCCGACTCTCTCAGACTTGACACGAGAAATAGCCAGATCTTTCTCCTCCTGAGAGAGCCATCTGGCGGTTGCGGGTCTGTCGGTCAATGTGAAGAAGGACAGGACTGCAAGTCCGACAGTAATGATTCCCTCAATAGCGAAAATCATTCTCCAAGCTTTGAGTCCAGCGAAGCTGTCCAGTCTCAAGATGGCGGAAGCTAACAAGCCTCCAAAAGCGCCAGCAAGAGGTGCTGCTACAACGTAAAGACCGAGTCTCCAAGCTAATTCACGGCGTCTATACCAACGGGACAGATAGTAGGCAATTCCAGGCAGCATGCCCGCCTCAAAGATACCAAGCACAAATCTGACACCGCACATCTGGCTGAAGTTGTGGACGAAAGCGGTGGCAATGGAGCAGAGACCAAAAGCCAGAGAGATACCGGGAATGAACCATCCGGGCCCGAGCCACTTGCAGCACATATTCGCAGGAATCTCGCAAATAATATACGAGACGTAGAAGACTGATAGGATCGCATTGTAATCGTAACCNNCTAGAAATACGGTTAGCGTCTTGTGGTCAGCGTTGTGGATGGATCAAGTCACGAACAGTGAGTTTCTGAATCAAAGTTAGCATGTTACTTGCAGAGAAGGCTCGGCAACACTTACAAGGTCCTTCTCCAAATGAGCCAACTTCGCGTTTCCTGTCGTTGTAATGAGTTGACAGTCATTGTAGAGTGGCAGGAATGTCTACTAACCGATGTTGGCTCGGTCGATGAAGCAGAAAAGATACAACAACATAACAGTGGGGATGATCATGAAATCGATCTTTCTGCGTAGCTTGGCCTCAGCTTTAGCATCAAACTGAATCAAAGAGTTGCCATNATCTATACTATTGTTAGCATAATGTTTGGAAGAAGGGTGATCAACATACTGGTCGGTCGCCTGGTGTCCGCGCTCGGCAGCCTCGTGAACCGTCTCTTCCGCAAGCTCCTTGTGCATGGCAGCGTGCCCTTCTTTGTCGAGCTCGTGTGAAGTTCTCATGGTAAGTTAGGATAATGGTGTATTGAGTATGGGACTGTTGAGAACAAACGATCTGGGGTAACAGTGTGGGGGTCGGTCTGGGGTCTGGGGAAGCCTCTTATATCTCTTCACAACCACACCTATTCATCGGCAGTTGATCAAGAAGAAGAGCAAACGAAACGAAGTGTAGAAATTTGCGGCGGAGAATCGAGGCGGGGAGTGCATGTGGGGAATTGATTGCACGTTTTTACTTGTTGTTGTTTGACTTTGAACTCCGACCGGATGGAGCTGTAGAGCGCGAGGGCGTTTTGCCAAGGTACTTGGCTGTGTTTTTTTCGCTGGCTCGACCTCGCGGAATAGCTGGATATCGTCGTTAGCTCTTCTTGGCCCACTGCCACCCCCACAAGGAGCAGACACATCCAAGGATGGGAGTCTTGGATTGGCCTCGAAGATGGCACTGCCGTTGACGGCTCGTTCAGTAGCATCGGAATTGTACCGTCTGCGGCTGAATAATGAATCGATTCGAGAATACTATGCAGCTCATTCTCAGTGATATCTTGCCGTCGTTGTCTGCAGAGTGAGTCTTTGAGGTGTTCGAGACAACCCCCTATCTATAACTTGGTGTGTAGGCGAACGACCAGTCTGAGTCTTGCAGTTGGAGTCAGCGGTAGTTCACAGTAGACATTGAACCGATGAGCTCCCCTTAGGATCAACAGCCGATATCTATTGCCGGGTTGTTATACAGGTCAGTTGTCGCAAGCCATCAAGGGTACGATGAGTCTTTGTCCTGGCACGGGAGGGTCGCCAATCCGCTTTCAGACAAGATCCAAACATTGTTTTCTACAAACGACAGCCCTCATCCGAGAGGCACTTATCATTCATTCTGATGTCCGAACGCCATCATAGAGAAGCGCGATGTGATATTCCGCAGATGACAGTCTGGCCCTCCGGCATATGCGAGAAAAGCGACCACGAAGAAGATGATATCTTGCGATACAATACTGCGGGGTCTTGAAGTAGCAAAGTCCTGCTGAACAACCGTCTATAACCTACCATACATTGGTCTTTTGAATTGCGAGACTGTCGTCGTGATGGCAAGAGCTAAGGTTTGTGAAGTAGAGAATTGCATTGCCTCCGACAGTCAGAGTCCTGTGCACCCAAAGGTTGTGTATCTGCCGACTTCAAGTGATACCTCTACCGATGTCAAAAGCAATGTGTTTGCTGACAGCCATATACCAACGTTCCGAGGAAAACCGGGTATCAGCGTATCTTCTTTGCATTGTGATCATAACCGAGGCCAGTCTCGGTAATGGTATGTAAGTTCTGCACTGAACTGTAGAGGTCGTACTACAAAACTGTCGTCTGCTTACCAAAGCAAGGTCATCCAAAGCGATCAACTTCGTTGGAGCGTCGGGTATCTCCCTCTTCGATGTTAGATCGCCTGGACTGACCTTGAAAGACCAGCTGTAAGTGTACTTACAGCCTCTGTGTTTCTTTCTAAGGCAATTCGAGTGGAAAGGCTTGCTGTTCTGCTCGCGTTGAGTCAATGGCGGTATATCTACATCAGTAGATCGTGGAATGGTAGCAGCTGTTTCAGTATGTGGTTGGTCTTCTGTGCCTACCTGGAGTGGAGCGGCATCGCTTCGAAGATCCCGACGTGAAGCTCTTGTCAAAGATGTGCTTCTGATTAGACCACCCATTTCTATATCAGGATTCCAAGGTGATGCAGTCAACGTCCAAGAGCAAGTCCATCACGAAGAGGAAGGCGCAAGACGAGGTCGGCCCGAGCAGCCCGGAAATATCACGGATAGATTGCCAAGCGCTGATTGGCCAGAGAGCAAAAGGAGAAGAAAGACGCAAGGTCTTCGTTTCGATCTATGAAATTGGGCTTGGGATTTTTTCCCGCCTCTGCTTGGTAGCAAAAATAATAGACAACCTCAATTGAAGGTCTTGTTTCTGTTGGTTGACCGTCGCGACCCAAGGGTGGACTTCTTCAAGCCTTTTGCAAACTTTCGTTCCATCCAACCGGCAAAGGACTTTTTTCCCCGCCGACAGGGCCCGATCTTTTGGACAAACAGATAGTGATCTGATAGCCGACAACATCCGCGAACGACATTGGTGATTTTTGGATATGGCTGGTGAGAAGAAGAAGCAACAGCCTTTCTGGNNCTTGGGTATGGATATTCACCATGAAATGCAATGACAATATCAGTGCTGAGACAAAACCAGTGGAGCGGCTGCTTCTATGGCAGCAACATGCAGTAAGTCGGGTGTGCATTGTGAAAGGTGATCTTGTGTTAACCAACGTTGCAGCNNACATCCTTTGGATCAAACGAAATAGTAAGGATTTCTTGTTCATATGACCCAGGTCAGAACTGATGATGATAGCCGCATGCAAGTCATGCACCAACCGAAAAACATTCTCAGGACATTAGTATTCTTTGCCGGTCGTGATGGTATCCCTTCTCTCTGGACTGGTTTGACTGGATCCTGGCTCAGACAATGTTCCTACTCGACCGCACGTTTCGGACTCTACAACTACTTTGCCAAGGAAGTCAAGCAAAGGACAGGAACCACAAAGTTGACCGCTGGCTGGGAAGTCGTGTGTTCTGGTGTGGCCGGTGGAGCAGCAGGTCTTATCGGTAACCCTACCGAGGTCGTGCTCGTCAGAATGTGTGCAGACGGTGCCAAAACTGCTGCGGAACGATACAACTATGGCAACTCCATCCGTGCACTATTCAGAATCGCAAAGGAGGAAGGTCTATCGACTTTCAGCAGAGGCTTGACGCCCAACATTGTCCGCAGTGTCATTATGAGTGAGTTCTGATCTTGGGATATCACATTCATGCAGATTGCTAATACTAAACAGACATTTCTCAAATCGCTACGTAAGTGCTAAGGATGGTGAGAGGTTNNATCTCAAATACTAACCAACATTAGCTACTCCACCGCAAAGGACTACCTCCTCTCGAACCCCAGTCTTGGTCTCAAGGACGGCATTTTCCTCCACTTCCTCGCCTCGTTACTTGCCGGAACTGTCGCAACTACTGCATGTGCACCTGCCGACGTACTGAAAAGTCGTGTCCAAAGTGCTGCCACCGTAAACGGTGTAAAGCCCAGTCTCAGCAAAATCTTTGCCGAATCATACAAGAAGGAGGGCATCAGCTTCCTCATGAGAGGATGGTCGCCCGCATGGCTCAGACTCGCGTAAGTACTTTGATTTTTTGTTGCAAGGACTAAGACTGACTTTACTGCTCAATAGNNTCCCAATACCGTGTTGATGTTTGTCTTCATGGAACAACTTCAACGTCTTGTGGGCGTCAGCACTGGTCAACCCAAGCCCGTCCAGGAGAAGAAGGCCTCTGAGGCCTTGAAGGCATAGGAAGCCGATCCAGACATCTTCAGACATTGGTTTTGATCTGTGGTTAATAGCATCGGGCGAGATGACTTTGTTTAGGCGTTACCCCTTTCTCCTTTCTTTTGTTCTCATAGACACACACTAAACATTTCTTGGTCGCAAGACAAGGAAATCAAAGTACACTTTTCTGGTTGACAGCAGACTGAGACAAGTTTGCTCACTATATGTAACAGGTTCAGAGACAAAGCCACTAGTAACGCATATGAACATTTTAAGACAATCATTATATAAACATGTAAGAACTCCTAAAGCTTGGCCTTTTCAGACGACATGACACGGTCCAGCTGCAACACGTCTCTGAGCTGCATACCGTGCTTTGCCGCCATCTCCTCACTCCTCTTCTTCTGCCACGCTAACCTGTCCAACAAGAATTGACCTCTCTTGTTCTCATTTCTGCCCAGCTGCAACAAATGCACCTCATCAGGACCATCTACGATCCTCATGGTTCTGCCTTGAGCATACATGTTTGCTAACGGTGTATCTTGTGATACACCGGCACCACCGTAAGCTTGAATGGCGCGGTCGATGACAGTCAGGGCCATGGTGGGGACTAGAATCTTGGCCTCAGCAATCTCCTTGAGAGCGAATTTGGCGTCCTTGGTGTCGATTGTGATTGCGGCGTTCAATACCGAAAGACGGGCGGAGTCGATCTCGACACGCGACTTGGCGATACGCTCAATCATGACTCCGTGTTCGTTCAAGAGCTTGCCAAAGGCCTTCTTGCGGGGATCGTTGACACGAGCGACAAAGAGTTCGAGAGCCTTCTCGGNCCTGTGGAAGATATAATGTCAGCGGCAGTCGGAGAGACAAGACGGGGCATTACTTACAGCACCAATGCTTCGCATGGCATGGTGGATGCGGCCAGGGCCCAGACGTCCCTGGATAATCTCGAAACCACGGCCCTCGCCGAGGACGATGTGATCTAGAGGCACGCGGACGTTCTTGAAGAAGATGTGACCGTGGCCGTGAGGGGCGTCATCGTAACCAAAGACACCAAGCATGCGGTGGATGGTGACTCCAGGGGTGTCTGCTGGGACGAGGACGACGCTCTGTTGCTTGTAAGGGCTAGGGTTGTTCTTGTCTGTCTTGCCCATGGTGATGTAGATCTTGCAGCGAGGGTCGCCAGCACCTGATGACCACCATTNTCTGTGGAACGACTGTTAGCAGAGGCTGAGCCTAGAGTTGATGCAACATACAGAGCCATTGAGGACGTATTCATTGCCCTCGCGCTTAATGTCAAGAGTAATGTTGGTGGCGTCACTCGAGGCGACATCAGGCTCGGTCATGAGGAAGGCAGAGCGAATCTTGCCCTCCAACAGTGGCTTGAGCCATTTGTCCTTCTGAGCTTGGGTTCCGTACTTGGCCAGCACCTCCATGTTTCCAGTGTCGGGGGCGGCGCAGTTGGTGGCCTCGGAGGCGGTGCGACTCTTGCCCAGGTACTCGGCCATGAGACCGTACTCGAGGTTGCTGAAGCCGGCTCCCTCCTTGAAGTGGTTCTTTGGCAGGAACATGTTCCATAGTCCTAGCTCTCTTGCACGCTTCTTGAGGTCCTCGATGATGGCTGGGTGGCCGCTGAAGCGTTCAGCTGTCGAGTCGCCAATCTGTTGTTGGAATACGGCATCGGCGGGGATGCATTCTTCTTCGACAAACTTCTCGACCTGTTGGAAGACATCTGTCAGTGTCTGATGCTATAGAGTAAGAAGCATCAGACTTACAATGTCGAGATACTTCAATGCCTTCTCGCTGACAAAAGGTCTAGCAATCTGGGGGATCTTCTGAGAAGCCTTGAGCTGCCCATCGGCGCTGATCATCAGCTTCTCGGAAAAGTCGTTCTTCTGTTGCTGGGACATTTTGGTATGCAGTATAAAGCAGGAACAGTATTGAACAGCAACCGCCCGTCTTGTAACTCGATCAGCTCCATGGGCTCGCCGAGGTGGACGCTAAACATTGCGGAGAATCGACTGTCGTTTTGCGGGGGAGCCGAGGCATCTCGCACAACCACCTGATCCTGCTCGGTCAACATCTTCTCTCAGCTCTGCATACTCCCCTTTATGCTGCAGAACAAGTCTTGTCTTAGCACAAGGTGGCCATGAGCCTTGAAATTGTGTCTCTGCTCTGACGAAGTCGTCAGCTTGGTAGTTCGTGGACGCAAACAACAACATCAGGAGATCCGAGCTCAAGCCGAGGCGAATCCATCACACCAGCCATCACCAGATCTTTTGACTTCTGCAGGACAGACTCTGCAATACGAGCATATGCTGTCCCAACAGCTTCTCTTCTTCCATTCCTGCTCTGTCTTCTCCGACCATCACCAATCTTCTGCTTCGGCCCAGACTGTTGGCGCCCCAGCACGACTTTTCGGCCCTTCCACCATGCACGAACGCCTGCTTGAGTTGCTGACTCTTCCGGCCTCCTCCTATTTGGTGACACCTTAGAATGTTGTCTCATCATGAACAGCTCTTTGTTTGCTATCTTCTTAGAGGTCACCTCATCACCATGCGGCATGAAGCATTCCATGTCCTGGAAATAGGTAGGTGACAATGCCGCCATACCCTTCATTCTTATATCTGCGCACAAGCTTCCTACTCTTAACACACTCTCTGTTTTCTGCTGTACAAAATCAACCTCATACATCAATTGTCAAGCGACCGACCAACACACCACATGTATAACCCCTCCATGGCATGTACACTGTCACATATCATGCCTCAACCATGTTCTCTTATGGAACTCCCACGCGAGCTTCGAGACATGATCTATACAAATGTCTTCTCCTTCGCCCATTCGACAGACCAATCAATTGCTCGACAACATGAGTCGCATTGCGGCGCCGAGGATCCTATCATTGTCCGTTTGAGCACCATCTCCTTCAACTGGCTCGACCTCATGCGAACAAATGGTCTGGTCGCAGATGAGATGCGACAACTTTATCATATGTCATCCTGCCACAAGTCCGCCGCCGATCAAACGTGGTCTGCGCAACTCACACTCAATAACGACGAGTACGCGCTTACCTGGACATCATTACCGTGTCCATCATCTTGTGTACGGCACCTCTCCATCGACTTCAAGATCAACCTCACACTTTCGAAGTTCGGTCACTGGGACAATGACAGCAAAGACAAACCTGGCAACATTTTCAAAGCGTTATTGGAATTGCTTAACCAGATCGCTCGTCATGGACCCAACATCACTGTCACAGAGACATTACGCCAGTCCATCACCTTCGAGACACTAAGCCTCAAAATCTGGTTTACTGATGAAGAGAAGCCATACTTGACACCTTCTGGCCCGGAAAGCATCTACATACTCGGATATGGCAAGCGTCGTCTTTACAGTCGACTGATTGAGGATATCATTACTGCCTGTGGAAATCGCCTTTTGGAAGAGACGGTTAGAAACATCAGCATACAAGGACCAAAGAGCTTGGAGTCGCCAAAGACAGACATCACAATAGCGCATAGTGATGACCGTCATGAAAAGACTGAGCGGGATTAGGAGAAACAAGAAGAAGTCTTTTGCCAACTGAGTGCCCAGAGATTAAGATTGCCGTTTAAATGACTATACAGAACATACCTACTTATAGAAGCAAGGACATCTTCAGTGTCATAGTTTTCTGTGTTTAACATGACCATCGACTGCCTGTTTTGTCGTGTTTCGATCCTATCCATTGATCGATGAGGGAAAAAATGCTTGTTGTAACTTATTCGTGGTCGAAGCGGATGCGCAAGTAAATATAAACACATGTGGTAGAATTTTCTTCAACAATTCGGTTGTATAGTGTAGCGGTTAGCACGCGAGATTTTGATGAGTAATCAAATCTTCTCGAGTCCGTAAGTTTCAACTCAGCTTCACATCCACCAAAACATCGACTCTAACACTTTCCAGTGGGTTCGAGCCCCAGTACGACCTCAAACAACCTGGCGTGTGTCATCTCTTTTGCGATTTCCGCGACATGAGAAGAGTTACAAAATTGTAGCGACGAAGTTTCCTAATTGCTTACATTCCTTTTGCGATCCGTTTGTGCGGCGGACGACCTTGAGGCACCGGGTCTCTGTCTGTTTACGTGTGTTTTCTCTACTTCAATTTTGACACCATCTGAGTCACGTATGGGTATTTGCAAACGGCCCTGTCACTCTCGGAGTTGTGACCTGCGACCAAGAGAACAGAGCGTATGGCAGGGCCTCCATGCTGTGGCCTGTAAGCTGTGTAAGCAGACGAAAATAGAAGGCGACGACCGCCGACCAACATTCGGAAAATCCAACAAAACTGTAGACCTTCGTTCGGACTCTAGAAACACCGAATCTCGATATGACTATGTAACCTACCTTACAGCCGGTCGGTATAAGGCTGTCATTCCTTGCTTACCTGTACACTCGGGATTCCTTTGCCTCCAGTCGCTCTGTGATGGCCTGTTCCGCTCCGCCTTGTCAGACCTGGAAGTTATAAACCAAGACGCTTTCCGTCGACGATGACTTCAGAAGCAACAGCCAAGTCGGATCATCACATGTATACAGCGAGGTCTACTTGTACAAGTAACAGGTCAAGAGAAGTCTAAGTAAAGAGCATGATGAAGTTTGTATCTCATTCAGCCGCGATGCCACGACAGCATTTTTTTCTTAGAAAAAGTAAGAGCCACGAAATACATCCCTAGTCGCTCCTTCTGTTATAAGTCTTCCTTGTTTCCTTCCTCTTGTTTCCTCTCAGATCAAACACTGTACTTCATCCAGTCTGTCCATTCATCCGCCATCATGCGTGCCTTCAGCGCTACAGCTCTCTGCCCTCTTTTGGCACATTGCGCTGCCCAACCTTTCAACTCCACTTCCTCCAAACTCGCAAACACCACTTCATACGAGACACCCTGCATCTCCTCCGCCGACGCCATCCTCATCGCCGACGGCTTTGGCCAGATTCTCTCCAACTTCAGCACTTCATGGGGCAACATCTTGATCGCAGACGGCTACGTCGATCAATCCGACAGTGTAGCAACCTTGATGCACTCACCCAACCTCGTCGCTTCCGATGTNCAGTAATCCTTGACATCTCGAACCAATATCTTGACTAATAATAACCTGCAGTTGGGCAAAATCACCTTCGGGAGCAAAGAATCCTTCCTGGCTGGCGAACAAGCACAACCAGGTGTCCCCTTCAAACTCCTCAACACCTGGTCCTCTTGCAATGCCGTGACCTTCCGCTACGTACTCTCTCCTCCAGGTCTGGATGTCCAGGGTATTGCTGTCGCTGAAGTTGAAGAGGCGGAGAAGAATGGAACTGGTGTTGGTGAGGGAAGCAAGAAATGGCAGGTCAAGACTTTCTATGGAGAGTTCAACTCTGCTGTCTGGTTGACTGATTTGAAGAGCAGTATCACTGGGTGTGATGTCACTGGTAATGTGACTGTTGCTTGAATGACCAAGGTGGCAACGGGGCAGGATGGTTTTAGATATCGCTCGGCTGATTTCGGATAGATGGGTCAGATGTCAAGGATAAAATTGCTGTTCTGTTTCGAACAAGTTGGCATACTTTTGAGACTTGTCGCTTTTCCACGACATGGTGATATGAGCGTAAGGCTACTAGAATCAACCAGTCACGACAGCATGCTAAGCTTTCCTCGCCAGTGCATTCATTGCCACATTCACTTATCTTGCCAAGGATGCTTAAGTAACCTGATCTTTTCTTCCACACTACAAGACTAACATGCATCGAGAGTGCATGCTAGATCGGCGGGCACGTGACAACTGGAAATGCTGTGTTTGTCTTTGATCATCACCTCGTCGTTAATGATTCACTGCAGCTGGGAGATCAAAGATGTACGTTGGAATGCTAAATAGACAAGATGCTATATTCCCTCAACATCCCATCGACATCGACATCGACTTCACATGAACGTTTAAGCAAGCCGGTGTACGTGTGTTTAAGCAAGCAGATTCATGTCGAACACATGAATCAAGGACCACAATCAAGATAAACCATGAACGCGATCAGTTGTGTAAAATTTTGTTATGCTCAAAAGCTATATCTCTGTGGTTCCAAAGTGCGAAATGGTGGTACCATGCTCCAGTCTTCATGGTATTATAGTCGGTAGTGGAGCGAGCTGAACCGTAACCTGCCGGTAAGACATGATGCGAACACTCCCAGGAATTATGGCTGTGATCGCGCTTGTTCAGGCGAGGGAGCCGGCTGCGATATCGAAAACATGATCGTTCTCTGAAACGGGTAGTGTCGATCTTCTCATCATCTTCTGCCAAAAACTTAACACCGCTTGTGGATGTCGTATCCATAAGTAGGTCTACGAAGCATCAAGTGACCGTATTCTGAGCAGTGAGCAGCGGTAGTGTCGTGAATTCCTTGAACTCAGTATTAGACCATGTTATCGATAGTGCGATGATAGTCGACGAACTCAATCCAGCGCGGAGGTTATAGTTGATACAGCTTCTCAGGTCCGATCACTTTGGAGCGGATGGCTGTTGGCGTGGTGGTTTTCATGAGCACAAGCTTCAGCAACGAACAGCGAGCGGACATGAACGTTCGTAGAGTCCACGCTGACAAGTCTTGTCGTACTGATTGTGATTCATCGAATGTGGTTCGCAATAGGAAACGTGTGGCTATTCTCTGTGTCAAGATTTGAGGTGTGCTCAGCTGTTGCCATTTGAGTTTGCTCGAGGTCTTTCGTCCATGGCGACGTCCCATCGGAGACGAGCTTGTAGTCGTGACAGTACAGCCAGCTCGTCCCCATCCAAGTCAAAGCTGTCAGGTATGTAGAGATGATGTGGTGATATGACAACAGAATCCGGGTCTACGTTCGAAGTCCTGGACTCCGACTGGCCGGAGAGAATCTCTTTGGTGAGCGTCTTCTCGCTATTGTTGGTCGATACCTTCTCAAGATCTTCAACCTTCTGTTCCCTCCTTAGGTCGGCCGGCGTCCACCAGTAGACTGGGTATGCTCGTTGGATGTTGTTGAGTATACAGGCGAGGGTCAACATGATGACCGAGCTCATAAGAACGAATGGGATGTAAATCCAGCCCATAGCGATAATCTCAGCGTTGGTTGTAGCCAGGACTGCAGTGGCGCCTCCTGGAGGATGCACGGTGTTTGTCGTTGCCATGATGGCGGAGGATACAGCACAAGCGACCGCGCCTGCAACCCACTGTAGGTCTTCCCAATCTGAGTTGAGGTGGAACAGTTTGTGAATGATGACTCCTGTCAAGGCCGAGAAGGTCTGTCCTAGTATTGCGTTCCTCGGCTGGGCAAGAGGTGTCCGAATCGAGTTGTAGTCCAAGATAGCGGAAGCGCCNNCTACGTTGTACGTCAGTGCTTGTAGCCGACAAGGCGGAGCATCTCAGCATACCAAACTCGCGATCATAATCGGAGGGTGCCATCTTCGAATTCCGGGAGCGTATTTATAGAGAGCGCCTATGATCAGAAGGCCGAGTAGAGACCCTAGAAAGGACCAGAAAACAACCACCAAGCGTGGTGGTTCTTTGTACTCCTCCGACCGAAACCCCAGAAACCGCGATATAGGCTTCGGGAGCCTCGATACACGCGAACGAGGAACAAGGAGATTCAGATGGGTGTCGATGTCATAATCGAGAGCAGTCAATATCCGCGAATGCATTGTAGGAACCAGAAACAACGTAGATGGTGCTGGGTGGTCGGCGCTCGCGAGAGCAGCTCGAGTTGATCAAGTACTCTCAGGCCTAACGGAAATCCCTCGGGTTATGACAAGGAGAGGGAAAAGGGCTTGCGGGGTCTCATGTCACCATTTGGAAACGGAAGACATGATGCAATGACCGAAACTGTTTGTTTGGCAGGCAGTTTCGCTCTTACCTGCTTGATATTTCATAGGCAATCTTACCGTCATATGGAAGCTGTGTTTCTACCTGACAAAACAAGGTCTTCTGATCGTCCAAATCTCTTCGTGATGTTGTGCATTCGTTCCAACATTGCTTCTGTTTTTCGCGTCTCCGGAGATGTAGGACTCTAAACGGACGTCATCTCATCATGTGGTAAATGGCAACTTGGCCGTTTTTGTCAAAGTCGGTCGCAAGTCTGTTTCCTGTACGTAACAGCCGCTGCGCCGCGGCAGCTGATGCTGAAACCCCGGCGAGAGCCTGTCCTGTCGACAACGAATTCAGTCAGATCAAAAATGTTCAGAGACATTTGAGGAGGTTCAAGAGGGAGTGTAGAAAGATTTCGAGAGCGATAGGACTTATATTTGAAGAAGGGAGGTCGTCTGAAGATAAGATAGCTCTCTCAATTGATAACAGATGCGTCTTGAGCCTCATGCTTGGCTGAAATAAGCTTCTCCGCGGCAGAACTTGGTCAAACATCGACACTCGATCTGGGGGAGGCTCAACAACAAAGGGATGTATCCGGCCTTGGTTCTTTCGATGAGTAGCACAATATCAGCTGCCTGGACTCGGACGCAGCGACTTCTGACTGTTGCTTCGCGTAGATATGTTACAAGTTTGTCGTTGGTTTCGCATGGAAGATCAAGAGAAACTGTGCGGTTGGAAATTCTGGACGAGTGCGTCTCCTGTGAATTCGAAGTTGCGGGTAAGAACGAGCTCTATTGACCACAAAATATATTCTGAAGATATCATAAGATGCCAAGCTGCATAAGATACTAATACGGGACAGGGTATATCAAAATGAATGACACATGAGGTCTCGAGGCCTAGATTGATGGGCTGCTGGATTATACCAGGGTCACACATCTGACAAAAAGACATGCAGATTGCTTGATGTAACTCCTCCCCATACTACAGACTGTTCCCTACAACAGCAGAAACGCATAATGCCTTTTACAAAGATGGAATGTACCAAGAGAGACAAACATCGAGAAGTGTCCTTCTGACCGTGACTTTGTCTTGTAAAACTACTACATACCACCGTCAGAATGTGTCAATCACGAGATTATGATACAGAAAGACTATATTTATATCCAAATCTATAGGCCCGAACATCTACAATGTATATCTGAACGATGGATGCTTGTAGCCAAGCATCGACTCATCTCCCTCCGCCAGCCTATGATCACGTTTACCGGTCGCTCTCTTCTTGTTCTCCCAGCTGCAGTAAACCAACAACGACGAGGTGATGATTAAAGACAAGCATAGCATGCCCAGGTTGATTGCGTGCCCTTGAATAAATCTTGNGGCTGCGGAGGCGTTAGTCTTAGAGTGTGGAAGAAAGGATCAGGTTACTTACGCATTCTTGGAAAGATAGGTGAATGTGGCAATGAATGCAGCACAGTTTGCGATCATGATCTGAGCGCCCGTTCCAGTTGCACGAACATAATGCGGAGCCAGATTGTTGGCCAGCCATCCCATAACCAGAGGGCTACAGGGGAATATACCGGCAGCAACCAAGAACGTGCCTCCGTACTGAATCATGTGGTGGTTGCTGGAGATGAGCATGATGTATCCTCCAATTGATATGGTGCATCCGATCAACATGAATGGTCCGCGCATACGGTACTTGTCAGAAAGGTATGTCACCAGAAGTACGCTCAGGAACGCGCCGATGTTGGGAGGTACGGTAAGAAGTTGTGCATGCACGGCCTTGTATCCCAAGCTCTTGATGATCGTTGGCAAGAACAACGAGTACGAATAGATAGGCGTGATGATGGCGAAGAAGTTCAACGAGAGAAGGACAGTGTTCCAGTTCAAGAAGGCCATGCGAACCCAGTGCCANNGCCTGCAGTAAGTCAGCTCACGATTTGGGACACCTGGATATCAGTGATGGTACATACTAAACGTCTCATTCTTCACGTCATCGGCAGCGTCAGACCCGTGCGAGTCCAGATGCATACGTAGAGCAGCACCCTCTTTCTCTTCTTCAGTCAAGAACTTCGACTCGGCCGGAGTATGAGGCAGGAAGAATATGGTGAGAATGCCGAACAGAACAGTGATACCTCCCTCAACGAAGAAGATGAATGGCCATCCCTTGTAGTTGCTGGTGTGAATCTTGGCAAGACCAGTTGCCAGAAGACCACCGAACGCACCTGTCGATAGTCAGTTATGAACACCAGAAGCAATACTCTGAAACCTACCTGACAAGGGCGCAGCGCAGTAGAAAAGTCCGATTCTGAACATGAGCTGATGGCGCCTGTAGAACATCGCTAGGTAGATGATCATGCCGCNCCTGTAGTATACAAGTCAGCACGGTTGAGGAGAGGGTATCTATAATATCCATACCAACAGACCACCTTCCATCAATCCAAGGAAGAAGCGTGTGATGATGAGTCCAGTATAGCTCTTGACGAAGCCCATACACATTCCGACCAGTCCCCATCCTATGATGAGTGCAGGTAGATAATAGCCAGCCTGGAAGTACTTCAAAACGAGATTTGAGGGGACATCGACCAGGATGTATGGCACATAGAAGACCGCGAGAGCGACATTGAATGTGTTGCCTAGCAGTGATGGTCAGAATGAGTTGTGATCGTTGTCTTGAATAGTGTTTACCTGNNTCAGTTTCAAATCCGTGACAAGACCGTCGATTTTGGCGTTGCCAATGTTACTGCGATCGATGAAGGCCAGCAGCCATAGGCCAAACAACCAAGGAACCACTGCAGGGAAGAGTTCAGCATATGTACAGATGGATGAGTGGACAGTATGCCTACCATGTGTGTCGAACTTTCGTGTGATGCGTCTATCCAGCTCAGGATCAAGAGTTGGTCTATCATCCCAGGTGGTGTTGGTCTTCTCGAGGTCCTCAGCATATTCGAGCTTGCTGTCGCCGAGGTCATTCTTCTCGATAGTGGCCATATTGAACGATTGGAGTTGAACAACACGCAAGGGCACGAGAGCAGTCGAGTGGAGGAACAAATCACACCAGCAATGGGAGCATGCGGATCAAGGGCATTTAAATGAGCCAACAGCATCATTGCTGGATCGGCAGTTGCCACCAGATAGTAAGTAGTACATACGCCCCACACGATACCACCCCCATACCCCGCGCGTCTGCCCCAGATTCGAAACGGCTGAGTGGGGGTGACTTTCTCGGCGTCGCCTTGTCTGTCTCGGTCGCTTGTTCCGAATGCTTGCCAGAGCTTGGTAATATCGATAGGGTGATTAGTTCATGTTGTTCGGTGAGTTGCTGGAGTAAAGTACAACCCTCCTTAGCATCTTCTGCGCTTCTTCCTTGTATCTTTCTTGGACGCAAGCAGCCGGGAGAGGGATGAGGACAGGATTCGCATCCGAAAATCCTCCGGGGAGAAGAGCGGAATACAGATGATCGGCATAGTGGACGTTGAAAGTCTCTTCTTTGACGCGGGATCGGCGATATCTCGCGTGCCGTCCATGCATTCTGAGCGTGTTTGCTATATTCAGCCGGCCAATACAAGAAGTCAATCAGCATCTGGCTTTGATCTGCTTGCGCCACAGGAGAAATGCGCGGAGCTGGATTGTCACCAAAGGCTCTGCACCAGTAGTGGAAGTGATAAAGCAGTTGACCAGGAAGTGCTTCCGATGCATAATACATGTGCGAAAAATAGTGAGAACAAGAAGGATGAGTGGATGTTGGCACCTGGATGGCAATCAGCCTATGGGACGACAGACTCTTACAGCGTGTTTCCTTCTGTATTTTGAGGATAGCTTCAACTACCACTGGCAGAACATCGTTTGTAAACCTCCTTTGCGACAGCAATCGAGGCATGGCTTTGTGATTTGAATTGTCCATTGAGACCAGGCACCAAAGGGCGGGGTACACATGGCATTTGTGAACTTACTAACAACAAGTAGGCCGGAAGCTAACTCTGTGAGGATACATTCGACTGCAAGATGTGTCGAGAAGTGATATTGTATCCCTGTTTGCAGGTAACGGAGTAGGTTGCTACCAGCTCAGCTGTGATTATGTTCCTGTCTCTGCATATTCTAGCTCTTGGGTCTGGCTGGATCTGTGCCGTCCGGTTTGAATTTCTACAGCCATAACTTTGACGAGCTGATGAAAGGCTAGCATGCGCAAGCCGAGGATGACAAAATTTGAATAAAAGAACGTATAGCCGATAGCGCGGAGGGACCAGATCGATGGACTTGAGGGTAGCGCCTTTGTTACAGTCGGTATCCCAGCAGGTTTGGAGCTTCACAGCAACCAATGGATATTGATTCCGAGGCCCATTGATAAGCACAGAGGACCTCGATGTATCATGAGTTCAGCGGTAGGTCCTATCTTACGTTGATGGATGCTTGCAAGAATGGTCTAAATGTCCACAAAATGCAGCTTGCTCCGGAAGCTATACTTAAGTGTGACTGCCCAAAGACTACTTGTGTCAGCGGATGCTTCCGGCTTTGGAACCCATGAGTTGGATCATTTGCGATTGGAAGAGATGGAAGAGGGATGGATCAAATTGTCCTTCGAGCTGGCTTGTCTTGGCAGCCCAAGCTCAATCCTCCTCCACCAAGGAACGACAACAAGACCCTCTGGGATCGGATAATGAATAAATCAATCAATCAATCATCAATCCCAATTACATCTTGTTTCCAAGCTGGACAAAAGCCACAAGAAGGTAGCAATCAACAGACCCTGCCATGTAGCCAGGTATTCGAGAAGAGGCAGGGTCTCGCTCCTCCAAGAGGGTGACCGTCGTCTTGACAAACTACTGAGATCAAACCACCAACCAGCACTAAACATTGTGCACAACCTCACCAATCACTAACACGCTGCATCATTTCATGGTGTCTGCTCGAGGTAGAAGATAACCAAGCACCAAGACGTAAGACAGGAATGCAGATGCGTGATTCAAGAGCACCTGCCTCGTCCCACGAGCTGTCTTCTTCCGTAATGTACCATTATGGTGTAACCACTCAGAGAAACATTTATCATGTACAGAGGTAGATCGAGTGGCGAGATACCATGCTACGTGCATGCTCGCAACTGACCTCGTAGCCCTTGATCGTGACCGTCAGAAAGTTGACGAATGCACTGTGTTTAAACTGTTCCGTGAGCTCTTCGCACCCTGATCATATACTATAGAGTAGCTCCTCAAAGACTCCGCAGGGATATGGAGTACACAAACGGCGGAAGAATAGTATATGCAGGGTAGTATAAATGAGAAAGTGATGTACAGAACAGGATATTACAAGACAACAAGACAACGCCAATGCTATGAAGCAGCGAGTATTAAAAACAGCTCTCCTGATACAAGATATACTTCAAGAAAGATCGAGACACAAAAGGATCATAACTTCATGCATCCAAAAGTGGAGGTGGCATAACCGATCTCTATTCATCAATTCCCAGCACCGATCTGGGGATAAAGTTGAACGCTGTACCAATGAGGGCAAGAATTGTTGAGATGATGATCAACACCCAGTTCATGATTCTCTCAGCCCGAGGAATGGAATCACCGAAGATCTTGAGATGGAATGCGAGAGGGAGAATGATGCAGATGGTGAAGCAAGCAATGGAGCCCAGTAAACTCATGATGCGATCGAACTCAGGGACGAGGATACCTAAGATCACAAAGACGACAGTGCAGAGAATGCGAATTGTAGCCTTGAGGATACCACGGTTGAAGCCAGACATTCCGTGGAGGGAAGTAGAGTTGCTGACTGCACGGGCGTCCAGTCCAAGGAGAATCTCCAGTGTGCTGACAATGGGGCGTGCATTCAGGGGGATCTTAGCCAGAGGGATCATGGCCACGCAGACGACAATGATGACGGATAGCCATTGAGGGTAGCCGTCATCTGCAAGAATGTTGCTGGAGATTTCGTCCTTGACGGCATCACCAAACATGAGAAGACCCACAACAGCCATGAAAAGATCAAGGGTAGCAGTGAAGGCGTAGGTGATGTTCAGACCGCGGTTGTACTTGTAGGGATGTCTCATATCACGGTAGATGTTGGGGAACACACTGTGGCCTCCCCAGGGCGACATGAGAAGACCCAAACTTAGGGGAAGTGTTGCCCAGTTTTCGGGGAAGAGATAGGTCTTTGCAGGTTCGCGAAGAGATCCAGGAGTGTGAGGCTTGATGAATCCGTCGATGACAACGCAGAGCACAATACCAAAGCAAGAGACAATGCCAAGAATACTGGTGAAACTCAGCAGCCTCAGGGGTAGGAACGAGAGAGGAATCAGGATGAAACCGCAGACAATCTTCCACTCCATAAGACCCCAACCAGGAATCAGAGCATTGAGACTGTCGGCAAAGAGGACCACAAGGGCAACACACGTTGCAACCAATTCCAGACTGAATAGAAGACTGGTCGCAAGACGGGCCTTGGAGCCAAAAGAGACATAAGCAAGATCAGCAAAAGTGATCAGAGAGTTGTCGACATCCAAGCATTTGGCCAGGAGTTTTGCGGTGTAGCGAGTTGAGGCAGCAGCGAAAGCGAAGAAAGCCAGGCCGAAAACCCAACCAGAGTACTTCATAGCCAGAGGTAGAGCTAGAAGACCGACACCAATCAAAACGTTGACTGAGTTGAAGATGGTCTGAGGCAGCGTGGATTGGCCTACCACGACGTTCACAATCTTGCCGTCGTCTTCTTCCACTTGCTTGACGAGCAGAGGCTCGCGCTCCTTGTCCGGATCGTTGACACCCGACATCTGCTGCTTCTGAAAGAGACGTCCAGCATGGCGCATTGACGACTCATTGACCCTCGAAGACAGGCTTCCGTAGTTTGTTCCATAGCTGCCGCTGAAGGGAGTGGTCAACTGAGGCTCGATCTGGAAGATGCTGTCATCGCCCTGCTGGACACGAGCGCGGATGGTGCCTGCCTCGGAGGGTTCTCCAGCGTCCGAGATAGCATTGTCAGACAGCTTGCGCCCATCTGCCAGCGCTTGTCTCAAGAGACCTCTCTGCTCGCCAAATGACGATGCAATGTCCTGTCTCTCATAGTCTTCCGAATCTCTTACACTCTCCTCATCGTTCTCGGATACACGGAATGACGGTCTGACGGGTGCGATTTCGTAGAAGCCAGCTGCACGCTGCCATGATCTTGCAAAGTTGTCGATACTGTTGACGCCGCCAGCCTGGCGCAGGGTGTTGATTTTCATGGACATTGACGACCNTAGGAAAACCAAATCAGCGAGACACAAGCGCATAGGGTCGAAATTTGCGCACCTTCTATGCCGCAGTCCCTGTGTGTGGTGAGCATCTGGCGACCCGGCAGCATGCTCAGGGGCATCGTGGACGTCTGCACCCCATTGAACATGGCTCTCCAAAGTCTCCGACGAGCCACGACGTCCACCTCTTTCGTACTCGGTCCAGTTGGACGGGATAGGCGCTCGCTCGGCGGGCATACTGAGTCTGCAGTCTTGTTGTCAAACAGGAATCAGGAAAGAGATCGCGTGCGCAAAGTCGCAATGGGAGGAAGGCGGTCGCTCGCGCGGGTGGAGGCGGTTTAGTGTCGAGGCACGGAAGATCAACGAGCAGAAAAGGCAAAAGTTGACGAGGGTGGACGAGACGACTACTTGTATAGAGATAGGAGAAACATGGAAGATGGTCTTATCTGTGGGCAAGTATGTGTTCGAGAATGGGCGCAAGCCTGATGTCAGGGTTTTGTACAGAATGTGCCGTGCGGCTACTTTGCTCTAGATCGAGGCGATCGAAAGATTTTACAGCGTTGTATTAGCGCCATAGCGGTAGTTGTGGCAAGTACTAGACACTCGTTGTATGGCGGTGAGAAAGGGGCCTTTGTTTACCACTTGTACCTAGCAATCACTTTGGTGCAAATTTACGTAACTGGTTTTGAGTTTCCCAAGTTGTTGCGCGTGTGTGGAGAAGGAGGCATCCGAGTGGTATCGGGAAAGCACTTTTGACCAGTTGATGGGAGTCATGGATCTGAGATATGCATGCATGTCTGAGCTTTGCAACACCGAGTTGGTTGTTGATAGAACAAGAAAGATATATTCTTGAAACGTGACAAGAAATGTTTCGTAATTCGAGTCCTGTAGATGTTCACGTTGCATGCTCTTGCCAAAATGCATAAGCGAGCGAGCGTCAAGGCAGGCGCGCAAGTGGATTCTGAGGAAAGGGCGACTTGGCCTGTGAGGTCATTTACGCGAGGCCCTGCACAGCTGTGAGAACGCCGCTGCGGCCTCCCAACACACCTTTCACCGCAAACCTCTCGACGTGTGACCGCGACACCGTCATTCCCTCTTCCCCTTCACCCACTCACTCTCGGCGCAGAGCCTGTAAGTACTTATTGCGCAGTTTGCTCTTTTCTCCCGGTTCCGCACCACTCCCGCTCTCCCTGCACCCGCTGGGGCCACCCCTCGGGCTCCTCCGCAGCCCTGGAAAAAGTGTCTTGAACATTTTGAACTGACGCCGCCCCGCAGCCTGACAATCCAGCCGGCTCGCACAACAGAAGTCCCGCCAACATGAGTGAACAGCAGCAGGCGAATGAGGCCGAGAAGAACATTGAGATATGGAAGGTCAAGAAGCTCATCAAGCGCCTGCAACAGGCCCGTGGTAACGGAACCTCCATGATTTCGCTCATCATCCGTACGTGCAACATCGACATATCAGCCACCACGAGTCCCACGCCGCTGACACGCTTCCACNNAGCCCCCAAGGATCAAATCTCCCGAGTCGCAAAGATGTTGGCTGAAGAGTACGGAACTGCTAGTAACATCAAGTCTCGCGTCAACCGTCTCTCCGTCCTGTCGGCCATTACCTCGACCCAGCAGCGTCTCAAGCTCTACAACAAGGTNCCCCCGAACGGTCTCGTCGTCTACTGTGGTGAAATCATCACCGCCGAAGGAAAAGAGAGAAAGATCAACATCGATTTCGAGCCCTTCAAGCCCATCAACACCTCATTGTACCTCTGCGACAACAAGTTCCACACTGAGGCTCTGAGCGAGCTTCTGGAATCTGACCAGGCCTTTGGTTTCATCATCATGGATGGTAACGGTGCCCTCTTCGGTACTCTCTCTGGAAACACCCGTGAGATTCGCCAAAAGTTCTCGGTCGATCTTCCCAAGAAGCACGGTCGTGGTGGTCAGTCTGCCCTGCGTTTTGCTCGTCTGCGTGAGGAAAAGCGTCACAACTACGTCCGCAAGGTCGCAGAACACGCCGTCCAGAACTTCATCACCGACAATAAGGTCAACGTTGCTGGTCTGATTCTTGCTGGTTCCGCCGATTTCAAGAACGACCTCAACCAGTCCGATCTCTTCGATGGTCGTCTGTCCGCCAAGGTCGTCAAGGTTGTCGATGTTTCTTACGGTGGTGAGAACGGTTTCAACCAGGCCATTGAACTCTCCTCCGAGACTCTCGGTAACGTCAAGTTCATCCAGGAGAAGAAGCTCATCAACGCCTATTTCGACGAGATTTCCCTGGACTCTGGCAAGGTCTGCTACGGTGTTGAGGATACTCTTCGTGCCCTGGACGCTGGTGCTGCCGAGACTTTGATCGTCTTCGAGAACCTGGAGATTACCCGCTGGACTCTCAAGTCTTCTTCTGGTGGCGAGATCATTCTGCACACCAACAAGGAGCAGGAGGCCGACCGCAGCCAATTCATGGACAAGGAGACTGGCCAAGAGATGGAAATTATCGAGCAGATCTCTCTCCTCGAGTGGCTGGCTGAGAAGTACCGCGACTTTGGTGCCAACCTTGAGTTCGTCTCGGACCGTTCCTCCGAGGGTAACCAGTTTGTCAAGGGTTTCGGTGGTATCGGTGCCATGATGCGTTACAAGCTCAACTTTGAGCAGCTTGCAGAGGTTGACGAGTCTGATGATGAGTTCTACGATGATTGACAATTTGAAGCCCTCGCAAAGGGCGAGGACGCCGCTCCAGTCTCCGGATTGACGGCTCCTCGCGTGCAGCGCTTTGACAGCGCTGCCCCGAGTCTGGCGGAAGAGAAAAGACGTTGGAGTTGTCTCGAACCACTACGAGCTTCATCCTGGTAACTCGCCAGCAAGTGTACAACAAGAGGTACAGGTATGTATTCGACGTCAATTCTTTTACACGAATCAAGATTTACTAACAGCCACATAGTCATCCACTCCTCGGTCATTCGTCGCACAAAAGTCCATCTTCAAGGTTCGCGAGAGCCTGACGAGAAAGCCCGCTGCGCCGAGCCCACTGAGGGCACAGTTGCAAAACAACTGAGCAGCGACGACAAACCCCCACCTCTCGTCACAGCTTGAAGGCAAAGGACCTTGGAAAATACTCGTCAAAAGTTGAGTTCAACATTGATGCACGTCCAACAGACTCGGGTGAACATGACTGGTCTCGGAAAAAATTGATATTATTATGGCGCATTTCCTTTGATTTTTGTTGTTACTTAAGTGGTCATGGCTAGTATGTTGAAACAAGAAAAGCAGAGCGAAGCAGAACAGAACGAGAAAAGAACCAATACTACATGATCACTATTTTCTTCCATGCATCACAAAGTACGGTTCTCGTAAAGGAGAAAGACAGATGGCTTTCGAAGTCACATCAACATATCGCAAGGAGTGCAAGACCGATCAACTGCCTTCTTGAGTTTTAGATTTTGCATCTTCTCATCTCATGGTCCAGCAGGAGATCGACAACTTCTCTATACGTATGATTTTTCCGCAAGCATTTTCTCTGAGCTTTCTGTCTCCGCGTCAATCTTGTATGCCGCGAACTGCCTGCTCGGAACCTTTTTATCAAACAACACATCAAGTTCTTCGAAAGCCCTGTTCCGTGTTTCCGGCATGAAAAAGAAGCAGTAAATTGCGCACAGGAGTCCGAGTCCAGAGAACAAGAAACCGACTTTGCCCCGCCAATCGCCCTGGTCCTTGTTCATGGCGTAAGGTATAGCTACAGCAAATATGATGGATACGACTTGGACGGAGACTGTAGCCAAGGCGATTGTGAGACCACGAAGCCTTGCTGATGGTACCTCGGCAAGCATGACATAGCAGAAGGGCCCGATAGTCGTGTCATATATCAAGTTCGCCAGAAGCATCAACGAACATTGCGCCCAGGTAGGCGCTGAAGTTGAGCGAGGCGCAAAGTCAATGACTCCAATAAGGAACATGATTGTGGCAAGTCCAATTGTGCCAAATAGATACGCAGGACGACGACCAACGTAAGACAAAAGAGGCCAAGCAGCACAAGTACCGACAAACCCAAGAGCAGTCAAGCCAAGGTTCATGGAAAATGCATTTGCAGAGTCCAAGCCAGCCATCTCGAAGAAGTAGACTGCATAGCTGATGAACAACATGTTACCAGTAAAGGCTTGCATGTCATACGCCATTACACAGATGATTAAACGCCTGAGATCCGTGCCACGGAGGCAGTCCAGATAGTTGGGACGATCTTGCTTTGACGCCTCTTCCATATGCAAAGTTTCCAGAACGTTGACCAGCGTGAGCGTAGTATCGACCTCGTTAGTAGCAAAGCGCTTGAGCGATCGTGCGGCATCTTCGTGTCTCCCCTTGCGGCAAAGCCAATAGGGAGGATCTGGGCAGAAATATACCAGGGATAGCATGAAGACAGGCAGAGCCCATTGTGTAGCGATGGGAATCCTGTAAGCCATCGAACTCTCGATAGAATTTGTACCCTTCATGATTCCCGAGGAGATGAGTTTACCGCAGACTGCAAGACATCAGCACAAGATCGCAATCCCGCTCGAGTGACTACGCTTACTAAATGCAAGGTTGGTCAAAGAAGCCATCACGCCCCTCAAAGCCAAGGGACACACCTCGCTAGTGTACGCTGATGCACAAATGGGGAAGAAGCTGATGATAGCACCATTGAGCAACTGGCCCACGAACAGCTGTGCAGGTGTGGTACTGAAGAACTGGAGGAATATGATGCCAATCGATCCGAGAGAGCACGCTGCAATCATTCTTCGAGGACCCCATCTTTCATAGATGACACCAGAGAATAGAGCACCGCATACACCTCCAATGTTGTTCGCGTAACCGAAAGCGCTGACCCAGGCGGCTGGAACGACAAATGTGTCGTTGTAAGGGCGTCCGTATGTCTTCTTGAACGGGTCAAGACCAATCAGACTTCCAGTAATACCTCCATCCATACCCTTGAGCATAGTCGCAAGGTTCATATAGAGAACCCATAATGCTGCTGGATAGTACAATCTAGCTGCTTGCCAGAACTTGAGCGAATGCTCGATTTCTGAATACCGAACAGATGTTTCGGATTTCATGACTGGTCGTACTGTGTTGAGGTTGGACCACGGTTCCAAATATCTATATCTGGCCGCAAGACTGGAACAAACAAGTCGGGATGGTCATGTTGGTCAGCAAGAAACGATGATTTTACCCATCTTGGCACTGTATTGCTGCGCTTGGCCCGTATCCACATTATGACATGACGATATCGAGTAAGAAGATATCTGTGTGACCTACCAAGAAGCCTCGAAGAATACATCAGTTGTAGAGGACTGCTACCATGTGCTGATCGGGTGGTGAGAGACTGGTGCAATTATCCGAAGGGACTTCATACGCATGACTTCTTCCTCGAGCTCAAATATGTTGTTCGGGACGATCAGCCATTAGATCTGGTGGGCGGGCTCCCGACTGTATCGACCACAAACGACTGCAGCCTCATGAAGTTGTATGAAGAACAGTCGATGTCTCTACCTAACGATTAGACGGTAGAGGCAGAGGAAGAAGAAGATGATGACGCGCCGGGAGACACGGCCAAAGGGAGGGCGGGGGTGGGGAAAGCTTCCTCGATGCCAACTCGGCCTCGCACTCGAGACGCCGACGACGACGTATAACAGTCGAGTCCGTAACTGTTCAACGGCAAGCGACCACTTAACTGAATAACATAATAATCACGATGGTTTGCACAAGGGTGTTACGGCTCAATTCATTGAGATTCGTTGGTGGTCAACGAAGATGGCAGTCCTCATATTCGCACCTCGAGGCAGACATGACGGCGAGGAAGATCCGGCCAGTCTTTGATGACTTGACGTCTCAGAACTCGTTCAGACTCAATGTGTCGCTGGCCGACTTCCTGCCTAACACAAGGCAAGTCGACTCTGCTGCCTCCTGACGAGACTTCCCTAACAACATGCTGCAGNNCGCTCCGCTCACACCTCCAGCACCGAACAAGCCGCTGCCCATGCCAGTTCCTCATCATCTACTATACTTCGAGCCTACAAAACCTCCCTCAGATTTGCTTCCCGATGGCACCAATCCAGATCACTCGCCCGGTGACCCCTTTGTTCGCCGCATGTGGGCTGGTGGCAGCGTCATGTTCGACTCCAAGAAGCCTTTGCTCATGGACAATAGCCGTGCTGTGTGCCTCGAAGGCATCCGAGATGTCGCCGTCAAAGGCAAGCCTGGAGACGAGAAGGTCTTTGTCGGCATTGAACGCCGCATTGCCCCCTTGAACAAAGAAGAAGAGACCGCCATGGCCGATGCCAATGGTCATCAAGACAAAATACTTGCTTTGGAAGACAAGATCAGGAAGAGGTTGTGGATGCCTTCTGATGTTGAGTTCGGTCCTGCAAACATCATTGAACGCCGCAACATTGTCTTCATGCGCGAGAGAACTCCAGAAGAAGCGAAACAGGCTGTTGCTGCTTCCAGAAAGCCTGGAAAGATGTTGAAGCCCCAACATGAACCCGACTTCCACCATACACTCCGTCCAGATGCGCAATTACTGTTCCGATATAGCGCGTTGACTTTCAATGCCCACTCCATTCACCTGGATACCCAATATTGTCAGAACGTGGAAGGCCACAGACACTTACTGGTTCATGGTCCTCTTTCATTCACTCTCATGTTGACAGTCTTGCAACAGCAGCTTGCAAAAGAGGGAGGCTATGAGCAGATAAAGTCGGTCGAGTACAGAAACCTTGCACCGTTATACGCCTATGATCCGTTGAAGATCTGCGGAAGAAAGTCTGATGATCAGAAGTACGAGGTTTGGGCCGAAACTCCGGAAGGTGGCATCGCTGTGAAAGGTACCGTCAAAACGGAAAGGCTGTAACTGCCGGATCTCTTCGCTACATATTCTTCCTGCAAGATTGCCGAGTCGCAGCCTTCAACTCGTTATCAGGATTGTACAAGCATGTCCATCGTCACCTCGACGTCAATCAAGTTGCCGAGCATTGCATCATACTCAAGGACCAAGAAAATTGCACTTACGACCCTCAATCGGTCATAACCCGATCTGAGTCAACCCTGACTGCCCGCTGTGATCGCTTTACCGGCCCATCAGCTCTTGCACAGTTAACTCTTTGTTGAGAATATGGGAGTTCCTGCTTTGATTCTGTGGCAGAGCTACATCCGAGCGTTGCAATGTCTGCGTGTGAGCTTGCAATGCTTGACCGTGGTGAACATATTCTGGAGTAGATAGCACACCTGCTCCGCTACTTCCGAACGTCGATTTGAATCAACAACGGATTTGCCGGTTTTATAAGCTAAGCCAAGCTAAGCTATTGATGGAATGTACCTTCGCTCGCCAGGATCGACTCGTACCTGATCCAAGACGCCCCCTTTATGGTTTTGGACTGGACCTTCTACAACTTGTATTGCCATGACACCTGAACCTCACCGTATTCGGCCTGTGATGGTGTCTACTTCTGAACCTCACTCAAGGCATTCTGCCAAAAGGATGGAGACTGGACAGCATAGATCAGAGCTCTGAGACCGATGACAGAGAAGCCTTGAGCCAATTTCCGCTCTCTCTGAAGCGACTCCCAGTCCTGAACCGAAAGCCAGGTCGGTGAGAGTAGACTGCGATCTAGCGACCGCTTGTACTCGGCATCGTCATGTGCTGCTTTCCGCTCACTTGCAGCGGACTGCTCGCTGTCGATGGTCGTTTGGAAACGGTCGGCCAGTTGAAACCCGACATCGATATAGTCGTCTGTATGAAGGTCTGGCATGCCCAACACCAGAGCAAACCCGTCTTTGTCGAACTCATCCGCAGCACATTGACGAAGATCGATGGCGGCACGACGACGAGGATCAACGGCGCCACGACAACCCGCTATGTCATCGCAAGGGTCTGTCGCTGAGGATGGAGAATGGTCAGAGACGCAAAGCAGGTGAATCTGTAGACTTGTTGTCGGATCTCCGTGGGAAGGTCGAGGAAATTGAAACCAGTGTCGCAATCAGCCCTTTCAAGCAACTCGACGGCGATGCTCTTTGGTCGATGAGGCTCAGAAAAAGGCCTGAGGACCATCACCGAGAGCTGGTTGTCGAATCTAGACATATTGTTGGATTCCCTGGAACCAGCGTCGAGCGTGTTGAGTGTATGCGATGAGTTGACAGGAACGATTTCACACGAAGGCTCCTCTGTCAACACAGTGCTCTCTGAGGCGCGCTTGAAGGACGGAAAGTCAATGTCGCCAACTGTAGCCTTCTCTTGCCGTCTTAATTGCAGCAGAGGAGAGGCTTCCTGCGAGCTTGGTGTCGCTATGGTGGTATCGCCAGAAGTTTGAACGATGATCAAGCCCCTAGCGTTGATGAAGTTGGTCAAATCTTGGAGGTCAAATCCATCATACACAACAGACTGAGTCGGAGATTTGTTGAGCATGGCTAGAAGCAGTTCTCTGTCCTCTATCGAACCAGTGTAAATGCCATACGCCTTAGAAAGACGTGTCAAAGCATCGACGCTCCAATCTTTGGCGTAGCTGAGACCGGTCTTTGTGCGAGCCACACTCAAGTCCATGATAGTCGGGCCGGACGCGATGGGCGCCAAATCTCTTTCGGAGAACATGTTGTGATGGATGCGATGGAGTCAGAAGAAAAAAGATATTCGGCGCGCGAAGACGAGTATTTATATGATTTGACGCTGGATAGATATTAGTGTCTCACACTTTTGTGTTGCAGTATGCTGACGCCAACACCGTGTGTCTCGCATATCCTCTGAATGTCTCAACCATTCGAGCAATCGTACCACGATATGGGCGTTCCACAATACAAGGAGATTGGTCGTCCTTCCGGGTGCACCTCTCAGCTCGAGTTCAATATGCAACTTGACGACCATCTGGGCAATGAGCAGTGCGATCTTCTTTGAACTTCCTGATGTTCCCGCAAGCCTACAGGAGTGTTCGATACAGCCTAGGCTGCTCTCAGATCGATGCAATACTCGTCCTGGGTCCGTCGTTCGAAGTGAGTGCCTACGCCACATGCAATCGCTCCAGGACCACTGAGGTGATGCCTTATATGTGAGTACGAGCTGCTGTTGCTCTCAAAGCCCATCTTGCTGCTCGAGTGTGGCGGTAGCAGTGAATGGGCTTTCACAAGATCGCCTGCGCGCTCGAAGAATTGCTAGAATTGGATATCCCGTTATCTGTCGAAACAGCAAGATCCTTCTCAAGCATACAGCTGTGGTAGGTAATATCTTGCGCTTCTGGATTTCCTGGGATAGCCACTTCCACTATTGTTTCCGCAAAGCAATGGTAGGAAGAAATCGATGTTCTTGTAAGCATTCGACAGTGTGCGTGGTATGCTCATTCTCTAGTTGGCAACAGATGAATGACGAGTGTGAGGTGATGTTCAGAGCATTCGTAGACTAGTGTCGTTTGTCGACGGAGGAAGCGCTCACTCTCGCTGCGCTTTCAGTCACGGCTTCCATAAAACTCTTTCCACCTTCCATTTCCCTCTCTCTCTTCTTTCTTCCTTCCTCAACAAACACTACTTCCACCTCTCAACCGTCATCGTCATCAATTCTAGCACAGCTTCAACATGAGAATCGTCCGCTATTGGTGGCCCAAATGTCTCCATACGGAGCACAAGGACCCTTCGGGTCGTCGCGTAGGCATACACGAGGTCCAGGACCCCAGAAACAGACCTATCGTCGAAGAAAACCCTCCCTATCCTTGCCCTATGTGCACTGAGCCCGAGGGCAATCACGAGGGTCTAGGTATCATGCCTCGTCGTACCCAGCCCCCTACCGCGTAAGATGCCGGCCCGCCCCTTGTTTACTTCTCCGACGCTGACCACTTCTTCTAGATCGTCCACTGGCAACTCGGCCATCCTTGCAAACGCAGCTGAGCGCGGCACCTCTCTTGATCCCCAGGTCAGAGAGTTCACGCCTTCAAGCCAGGCCCTTGACCCTCGCGGCCCTCAACAGGCTCTCTACCAGCGTCCCGACTACGGTCCTCAGCCAGTCTACCATCAGGGTTTCACTCACGGTCACCTCCAAACCGGTCAGCATGCACCCTATGACAACCAAGCTGGCGCCTATCTCTATGGTGACCAGCTCTATGGCACCGGCGGTGGTTCCAACTTCTACAGCCACATGCCCGTCCCTGTCCCGACTCCATCGACAGCAATGGCTGTGTACAACCCCTCTGGCGCACTGCACGCCCAGCGCTCGTCTGCCATGGTCCCTTGGACCCACAAATACCAACCGTATGGTCCCAAGAAGACCGAGAGAGACGGCCACAAAGCCGGTCAGACATGCCCTGCCAAGCACCCTGAGTGCCACTGGCACTACACTGGTTGGTGCCACCAGCACCTCAACTCCTGCCACATGGCCCGTAAGTACTCCCAGCTTCTCGCAAAGTGTTTCTGTACTGACTTGCTGCTGTAGGCCAAGCCATCAAGGCCGCGTATTATGCCCATGGGCAGTGGAAGGACGGACCCAAAGGCTGGAACGAAACGCACGAGGTTTGCGTGCGCCGCAACAACCCAATCCGCTGTCCCCTCCACCAGTCAATCGAAGATGAAGTTCAGCACTTGTCCCCATCATAGACGAGTAGCAATTCCGTGGTTTCGTTTACGTGGCGAGCGGTAATGTTTCGTAGAGGAAGGTCAGGGGTCGAGGAATGCTCCGGAAGGAGCTGGGGTTCAACCCATCGACAAAACAAGGCACAGCAATATCGATCCCAGAGAAACGATCAGGAAAAGGGCATGCATCGACCACAAGGCATGGCGAGAGGCGAAAAAATCAAACAGAGGCAGCATTGATGGAAGCAGAATCAGAAGAGGAACGGAAGCAAAGAACAGAGATAACATCCCCAGCGGTCAAGTGCATCAGGAAAGAGAAAGTAGAAAATCACGAAGAAAAAAAGTTCTGTACCATTCGACTCGACCGTTGCGTCCCGAAAGGATTGAGGTGAGGTCCTCGTTTGACGAGGACAATATCAGATCGTCTGACTACACGGCAAAGCTGGTAAATCATTACTGCTTCTCTTCAAGTAAGTCATTTGGTCCTTACAACCTGGTACTCACCACTGACATCTCTGCCACCGGCGGCAACGAAGACGATTCATAGGCTTGTAAGAAGCATTCAAAGACGCCATCGCTCGTCAGTAGTGAGTGACTCATTCAAAATCAACTTACTGCATTGTTTCAAAGTCACTAACTTGTTCATCAGTCATAACAGCATCGTGGTTGCTGTGCTCTTGACCACGCAGCAGAGAGGCCTTTCTGACATACAGCAAGTATCAACTTTCTCTGTCACACCTGTAGGGAGAAAACTATCAAACAGTTCGACGAGAACCCGAAGGTCATGATGAGCTGTTTCCTGACAAGAGCTGGCAACTGTCTGACCATGTTGATCGCTTGCAAAGTGCAATGGTCCTTCTCCAACACCAACAACTCAAAGCTCGCGCAGTGTGCAGAACGATAATTGCTGCATCGATCAGAAGACACACAAATTCGCGCAGAGGATCGAGCCCATGTTCAATGCTGAGAAATGGACGATCAAGGAAAGAGAGGCATACCGTATGAACCTCGTCGAGTAAGTTTTCGGATAACAGAAGGACACAAACGACGATCTGGGCACGAGGCTCCAGATATCTGGGCGATCCAGGCCTTTTGCTCATACCGAGTCCAAAGTCACAGGAAGGAAGAAAATAAGACTGGGATCTGTGTATTGATTGGACATCTGCAGCAAATCTGTCGTCTAAGCTCTGAATCAAGACTGCCGCACTGATGCTGCTGTGCACCTACAAGAACGGTACCAACAAGAGAAATGCTCATGAATGGGAATGCACAAAATGTGTTTTTCAACTCAAGCATTCTCAAACATTTGCTACGATAACCAGGAAGCTGGATCGTAAAGACAGAACTTGGACTGACGATTGTGGTTGTCGGGGGCTGTCCTTCTCATGACCAGCTTCATGTGCTGATGTATCTGACTATTTTGATACAACAGACAACGAGAACTTACTTCTTGGTTGCATAGCCTCTGCATATTGCTCCTTCGGACTTGAGAGCGAACATCCCGAAGTCTGATTCCAAGATCGATCCCTACCTAGTCAAATCTGCACGCTATAGATATCAGGGCTGCCAACACCACTGTACTAGAATCGCAGGACAAAGAAAAGCAGGCTGACCGAAGCTCTAGAGATGTGATTAGCCATTGCATAGTGTTTTGATCATTTTCCATTACTGTAGTGATGTAGTGATAGTCTTGTTCAGGTGTAGTTCAACAGCGAGCGAACATATCGTGGCCACATTCTTCCATAGAGTCTTCCTCAAGCTGAGAGGACAGTTGCAAGCTCTGATCTCAACTCCAAATTCATCAACTCAGCAACTTTGTGATCAGACTTTTGCAGCACGAAAAGACTTTGTGTACAAGACTGCTTTCCTTTGACTTGTGCAACTTGAGCACAGCGCTACTGTCCTGGCCCATAAGGTCTTCTCCTGTGATATCCTCATACAGTATACGCATCTGCGTGTACATCGACTCTTCGCCATAGTGCTCAACAATCTCATCCTCGTCAATTGAGTTTCGTAAGTTGCTCCACCAATAAGGTTCGATGCCAAACGCGAGGCATTCGTTTGTCTTGCTGTGAGACCACCAAGGAGGCAGAATTCCAGTCTGTTCCTCGGCGAGTTGGAGGAACTGTCGGAAAGCAAAACTGCTGTCTGCTTCGTCGGCATAGATGGTGCCTGCATACTTGTTATCCCCAGAGACGTCGCCGTCCTCGCGATACAGACGGAAAGTGTCGATGAGGAGTTTGAAGACGTCTTTCTCAGGGCGGTCGTGCAGCCAAGTGCCGGCGTCAAGTTTGTGGTATGGCTTTTTGATGGCTGTTTCCATTGGGTTGCAAGACTTCTTGTGGATTTGCGAGTGATCTAGGCGACAATTGAAGGTGCAGTACTACGCTCTTTCGCATTTGCCGCACCACATGAGGTCCTACCATCGCCGGAGGTCGACGCTTGTGGAGCAGTTGGCACATTTGGTAGGCAAAGCGGAGGCGATCATGATGATTTGAGTATCTTGAGGGTCCGCGTGTATGGGAAAAAGATGTGTGCTTGATAAACGTGCGGATAGCGTAGTAGACGAGAACGCTGATGAACGAAGCAATAAAACTGTGATGTTGATGTCTGAAGGTTGGTGCCTGATGTCAAGAAATCTACTTTTGTAGGTGACGAGGTTCGCTCCTTCCCAATGCTGCCACCTGAACATACATTCTGCAGCTTAATATGGAATATTTCGGTTTATGTTTTGCCAATTCCGAACACACAACTGGCTCTCTTGAGGCGTGGCTTGATTGATGATCATCAACGGGCTACCATGTTTCTTGTTACACCAAAGATCAGGGGGCTGGAGCACTTTGGGTCAAGAATGGATTGAGATTGAAACCAAAGCAGCTACGTACAACAAAGCAGATCAACAAAGATATGAGAGGTATCCAAGTTGGAGAGGGAAAAGACACGAAACCCAAGGAAAAGATGCAAGCCACGCTTGTACGTCTAACTACCTCGATCAACGTGATGACCAATCGCTGGTCTGTGGCTTGTGGCGCGAAAACAAGAAGCAAACCCCAGAAACGGACGCATTGCATAACCAAAAAAAAAAGGCAACGGTGTATTTGCGATAAACAGTTTGTACTGGGCGATGACTGGGCGGCGACTTTACAGCTCTTCCTCGCGCTCGGGAACAACGTCCTCGAGTAGACCAATCTTCCATGCAGTGAGAAGGCATGTTGCGATGAAAAGGAACATGAATCCAACAATGCCAAACCACCAGGCAAGGTTGTGTCCGTCCATACCAGGTACGCGGACGTTCATACCAAAGAGGCCAGTAACCAAGTTGAGAGGAACAAGAATGGTAGCCAGGACGGTGACTCTTGAGAGCAAGGAATTGGCCTTGTTACCCTGCGCGATGTTGTCGACCGAGATTTGAGCGAGGTAATTGGAGTGACTACGCGAGAGGATCTTTTCGAAATGCGACAAGTTGCTCATCATAGTTACGACGTGGTCTTGGACGTCAGACAGATACAGGCCGACATCGCCGCGAGGTGCCATGCTGTACTGCTCGTTGCAACGTTTGGCGAATCCTTTGATAACATCTGCCTTTCCGCCAAGCAAGCGAAGCAGAGACATGACCTTCTTTCGGCAAGTGCCAATCTGCCGCAAGATAAGTCGCGAGTCCTCGAAGCGCGCAGTGAAGACACTGTCCTCAATAGCATCAGCCTCGTGCTCGACGTCACGCAAGACTGGTCCGAAAGCATCGACAATGTCGTCGATCAAGGCGTAGCAAATCCAATCGGCACTGAGATTGACATAGTCACGGAGACGACCAATACGCTTGCGGACGTTAGCAGCGTGAGGGTTGTTGCAGAAAGTGAACGTCAGTAGGCCTTCGCGGAAGACGACAGTGTAGACGTTGATGGGCTCCATAAAATCTTCGCTCTCCTTATCCTCCTGGTAGAAGGATCGGAAACAGACGAAGTAGTAGGATCTGAATAGCTCAACCTTCTCACGAGTTTCTTGCGTGGCAATATCTTCACGAGTCAAAGGATGAACTCCGAATGCCTTGCAGATGGCAGTAACCTCTTCCTCTGAGGGATTAAGCATATCGAGCCACCAGACACCACCATCTGGACCCAGTTCGAACAAGTCTCTGAATGTCTCGCCGGGCATGAGAAGACCGCCCAACTCGGGTGCGTGAACAGTCTCGTCGATCTCAGAAGAGAAGAAGGTGAACCTGTTGAGATACTGGGTGTGCGATACAACGCGCTCGAGCTCGATCTCCGGTGAAGTGTCTGTCTTCTTGGTATGGTCCATGGCATGCTTCTCGTCCACAACATCACTGTCGCTTGCATTGGTCTTGGAAGCGCGGAGATCATGGAACACCTTGGGCTCATTGTGAGTTTTCTGCTTGTTAAAAGGTGGTTGGAAAGGATGAGAGACAGGGGTCTTGTCGTGCGACTCTGCAACAAACTCTTCGAGTTCCTCGAAATCAATCAAGTAAGTCTTGCTCTGATCACGCTCAGCGGGGAAGCAAACGTCGTCCTGCACAGAGCTGTGGCGTGATTGTACGGTGTGAGTTGACTTGGTATCGTCATAGGTCGACCGACGATGCTTGGAGGCGCCAGAGATAGTCCTGGCGAGGTTAAGATTGACAAAAGGAGGAATATCGCTACTAATGGTATCGCCACGACGTCGTCTTTGTGGGTTGGCAAAAGCATCGACGGAGTTTGGCGGAGAGGTCGATCTTGAGCTGGAAGACTCGCGGCTCCTGGGCTTTGTATCCAAGGCAGGGGGNNGAGGGAGACGTATGGTGTTCCGTCTTCCTACATTCTGGCCGATGGAATTGCGTCGCCATGTGGGAGTCTCATGTACGGAGCGAATGCTGTCGTCGTCGTGGTCGTCGACGATAGCATTCTCAAAGTCGCGAGCAATCATTCCTTGTCCAAGTTCGAGTTGTTGGGCAGCAATCATGGCCGCGAGACGTGGGCTACCAGCGATGCTGGCCAGGGTACCTCTTCGGGAACCCTGTTGTTCGTGTGCGCGTGGGAGTGATTCCTGTTGGTGGCGGTGGTCATCAAGATCAGACACAGGAGTGCTGAATCTGGTCTGCGACCTTTCGGATCTGGGAGTCTCGGCCATTTTGATGATTTTTGGATATCCAATTGGGTTCCTCTAAGTATGTTCTTGTATGCTGTTCCTTCTTGTCTATGCGCTTATGGGCAGTCGAGTGAGCGGCGCGCGCGCGCTCACCGTTGAGAGATGTTCAACTTGAACAGCGGCCTCGCGCAGGGGTCAGCCCTACACTAAGCCGTGGATGGTGATTCGCGTTCCAGTCTCTACCCCGTCTTGACAGAGGGCAGGGATGGGGGTTAATTGGTTGTGGTATTAGTAGATGATGTGGTAGGTATGGCGTGGACCAGTTAAGGCGGCTTCTTGTCGCCTCCGCAGACCCAAATCTTCGGGCCCTGAGAAGGGAGGCTGAGGGAGAGGAAAAGGCGAGAGCCCGCCAACTTGGTGGTAGCCAGAATGGAAACGCCGCAGCGAAGGGATCCGGAGGGGTATGTGTGGTACGCGNNAGAGGAAGCGGCCGAAGGACGTCTGTTGGACGATCACCAGCCTCGGGTCAATAGGTAAAGTGGAATCGACAGCGGATCAAGGGCGCGCAAGCGGTCGATTGGCGGATCCAGAGGACAGTTATGCTAATCTAAGCAGGACCGAAACAGGGAGAGGTGAAGATGACAAAAAGTCACAAGGCCTCGAGGATGGTAGGTAAGAAGGGAGAGTCGAGGACGGTGCGTGGTTCAAGGACGACAGCAACTGACGGCTTTTTCGAGGCACAGACCAGAGCGCAANAGTTGAGAGAGAAACCCCAGCCATTCGCCTGCAGCCAATCACCAAGCACATGTGTCACTCGCTGGCTCGTTTATGGCCATGTCTTTTCTTTTTTCCCGTTCAGATGCCATTTCTATTGACGAGACATGACTTTCGCCAGCCAAATCTCATCCTCGTCATGGTCTTTGCCTTGATCGAGTATCACCAAACTACTGCATCCTGCCGTGTGTCGTACGGCGTGCCTTCTTCATGGGCTCGGTCGCGTCCAATCGTCTCGCACCGACGAACTCTAGCGGCCCGCTAGTTCGGTCGTCTCTTCCCCAAAAACGAAACTGGTCAAACCACACGTTCTTGACTCGAACAACCATCCATCTACATCCAGTCTGTGTTACTCTTTTTCTTTGTTCTCACGCGTCCACCCCTTTGGACTCACGTTTTCTTCAGATGCTGAAGATTCATGCTTTGCGGCCGACTTTGGAATCCGTGCAGCTGCGATCTTGGTAAGCTCGTGCTGCGTGCTGTCCTGCATCTGACGTTGCCAGGCGTCCCGTCCAAGACAACCAAGCCTCGGAGTCTGTTGTTGTCGTTGAAAGCCCGTGTATCTACACATCATCTGCTATGTAAACAGGCGGTGAGATTGCGGCCACGTCTTGCCCATCGATAGTACCACGGAAGCACGATTTGGGGTTACTCAAAATTCTTTGTTCTCGATTCGAAGACTGGCCTCCGTTTGATCATTCAGCTGCAGAGGAATAGCTGGCAGAGAGTAATGTCGTGCCTTGCGATAACGGCGCTGTGCTGGCATCCTGTGGTAAACAAATCTGTCCTATAGATGGACCACCCCTCCGTGACCGGTCAACCTAAATGCTCTCAGGCTTGACTATCCTCTCCTGGCTCTCTCTCCAATTGCCACTCTCACCGTCAATATCGTAAGGCTCCATCTCCACTTCACGCACATGCTGAGTCTTTATTCCGATCGCACGTGAACTCAGCATATCTAGATCAGGACTTTCTCTGTTGGCCTCGATGACGGTTGTCAGCTTGGCGACATATCTCTCGTCTAACTCCATAAAGTCGTCTGCGTTGCCGCCATTCGTGCTGTTCAACCCACCCATGGATCCAGAGATTTGCTTGGACTTTGAAGATATAGAAGTTGCGGTTCGGTCTTTGTCAATTGCTGTTGCCCAATGTAGCACGCACACAGTGAAAAGAACNNTGTGAAATGATTAGCAGCTGTGTCTTCTGTCCTGCTTTGGCAACTTACTGTCAAGATTGCACAAGCACAGACAGATGTATCCAGGTTCTCCGTCTAGGATCGTCAGGACCGACAAGTTGACGACACTCATCAAGAGTGTAGCACAAGATCCTACAAAGGTTCGAGTGACCAATGTTCGCATTACCGAGTCCGTTCCTTGCTTGAACGAGTAGCATTNCTGTGATGTCGGATCAGCAAAAGTAGATCGAGGCCTGATGGTTCTCTTATACTCACTCCGCAACGGATGCAAGAACAGCGATGTCAAATAGACGTTGAGGACAACGTCAAACGTTATGAGTGGTACTAGAGCACGCCTCTTCATGCCAATAACGCAGACGCCTTTCTCGTTGATGTATGCGATACGGCTGTACTACCATTAGTTTACTGGTCTTTCTCGAGCCACGCTGAGACTTACAANGACGAAGTTAAGGACGACCAAGACAACATAGGNGGCCTATGCAGTCTGTTAGAAATCTTGTTTGTTCTCAGGGCACCCGGTAGACTTACAGATGACACCAANAAAGTTGAACAACCATAGCTTGCTCTTCACTCTCGAAGTATTTGTGGTTCGGATGATGTGAACTTTCTCGACCAAGAAGTAGTATATCAGNNCTGCCACCGAGTCAGTAACGTAAAGTACAAGAGAGTGTGCATGATAGCCTACCACTTTGGTACTCATATACGAAAGTAAACAGAGCAAAATGGCTCCATCGCATATACTAGCAGATTGATTCAATGAATATGCTTTGGACAGCACAGCTGTACAGAAAATGAAGAGGAAAGAATCGATGTATATCGCAATGATCANCTTCACAGAATGTTAGGACGATTCCTTGGAGTGAGACGCGATAGTGGAGGTCCTACGGCCATTCGTCATCGAGATGTTTTTCCAACCTTGAACAAACTGTATCCGGCGAGCTAACTGATTAGCCATGGCTCAAGTCCGAGGTTCATGGGCAGTCTTACTGAGGCATATGGCGAGCACACTGATCGTTATCATGGAAAGAGCCATGGTGATGACTCTGGCCGCTTCTGGTACTTCCGTGATCTCGTGAGTGTGTGCCTCCATCGTAGCAAGATTCCGTAAATGAGAGCGAAGGGACATCAATTGCAAAATGTATCTGCTTCAAGCGGGGATCCATATATCATAGGTCAAGATCGTATTGGTAAGGGCATGGCCAAGAAGCTAGACAACTCTGTCCTTCAATCAATTGTTTCAGACGATAGTTCTACAGATACCCGCGACTCAACCACAGAGTGCGAAGCAATAACACGAACGGCTCCTGAACGATCCTTCAGTGGGCAATCTCCAAGTCCCGCAACAAGGGTTCTGACAACGGTCAAGCCGAATCAAAGGTGGCTTTTTATACTTTACCAACCAGGATACGCTGCGAGTAGAGCAAGCGTCTGGGCCACAGTAAGCTCCATAGAAAATTCCGATGATAGCGAACCATAGGATTTCCAGGCAGCTGGGTTGAAGAGATTGACTCCCGAGATGGATCTCTATTCAATGCAATTTACGAGACGACTGGTAGCGGCAGCAATCTGGGGAACAACTGAGTATGGTTGGGGAGCGGGTAGGAAAAAGGCTCACGCCGAAACCGCTTGACGAACCAGCTCGTAATGAACGACCAAAACCCGACCCGTTCCAGACCATCAAGAATCCAGTTGCGAGAAAACCATCGTTGTGGTGTTGCGGGCTCGCGCTGACATGAAGACTAATCATTTGAGGAGCTGTATAAGTCGACTACGAGTATGCAGGCAGGGTGGCTAGGAAGCGCAACATAGTCAACATCGTAGGCTGTGAATTGCTACTCGAGAACCTAGACATAACATGCATTCAGCCCTGTGTACATCAAGGCGATAACGTAGACTCTATTGTTGGACCGGGGACGAGAGAGTAGACCATGAGTCGCGGGCGACAGGAATGTGAAGGCTGGAGCGATATGGCGAGGCCGGAGGCCGCGGCCAGGGAGAAGAGTTGATGCACAGACGAAAACGGCGGTAACTACCGAAAGACTATCGGAGTCGGGCCAGCCCGATAGGGCTTGGGGCTTGATAGGGTTTGTCGCACGTCCACCCGCTGCAAGCCCACACACCTGCCTGAGCATTCAACCCTGAACCTGCCTCGAGACACGACGACGACGACTGTCGCCATCACTGACTCGAGTCTCATACCTACAACAGCCCGAGGACACGCCCCGGCCCGAGTCGCGTCGACAAGCTCACCCACATAGACGACACCGCTGGCCGCCAGAGACGACCAAGACCCCGCATCCAGACAGACGAGCACACGAACAAGCGCGACCATGTCAGAGCGAAGGTCCTGGGCATCGTTTGCTGTATGATCGCATGGCCTCTCTAGGTGGCGATTTCGTATGGCTGACTGGGTCGCGCAGCCCTATGACCACGATTACCCCTCCGCCACTACCAACAACCCTGACGATGCTGCTACCGTCGCCGCTCCCACGAGGCTGGACAGACTTCGTCGCGTTGTTCAGAGAAGCAACGAGCTGAGACGGGAGTCCGAAGAAGCCGAGCGCAACGCCAGATGGGCTCCTCCACCTTCGCGCCTGAGACGTCGCCGCTACAGGGATCCCACCGAACAGTCTCCTCCACGCTTCACCCGTTCGAACATCGACCAGCCCTCGTCCGACCTTGACGAGCCCAGGCAATGGAATGTCAAGAGACGGAAGCTGACTCACGAGTCGAACTACAAGTATGGCCGTTATGGCCAGGTCGAGCCTGGCAGATTGAAGCTTGAACTCGAGAGCTGCGATGGCGAAGTCCACAATGAAGAGCGTAGCGGCATCGATTTTGGACCCGAGAACATCCTCAAGCATGACAAAAGTGTCTACTGCTCTCGCGCTTCGAAGTGCAACATCGTCTTGCGCCATCATGACGACTCGACCTTTTGTCTGGAGAAGCTGTACATCATTGCGCCTGAAAACGGCTTCACCGCTCCGTGAGATGGTCATGTCCATGTCTCTCTGTATCTCCTGCTAATACATAGCAGGGTAAAGGAGGGTCTGGTCTATGTCGGCATGAGCCGAGACGACCTTCAGCCGTATATCAACAGCTCTACTCACTACTTGAATCCACCGAGGAGTCCGCCACCACGCCGGACTCATGATCCCGTACGCCTCAGTTTGTTGGAAAGTATCCATGATCCAGAGGTTGCTCGTGCTATTGGTACGCGCCGGGGTGCTGGCTTCTTTTCGCCTATCGACTCTCCAGCAGATGACCAGTCTCAGGACGAGGATGATGCTGATGACATGTGGAACTCCATCCCTGCAACTCGAGATCCCTCATGGCCTCCTATGGATCCAAGTCGACAGGTTGCGAACAGAAACGACATCGACAACCGAAATTGTGATGATCCTGCAGATTTGAGAGAGTCTCCAGATGGCCGCATAGTCGTCTTGAGTGACGAGGAAATTACCTGGCCCGAGGATCCCACCAGACCGGACGTGCTCGCGGACAGAAGGCGTAGGGAGCGGAACTTGCGCGACTCGCATGATGATGAGGATATATGGGAGTCAAGATATCGGACCAACTATGCGCGCATGCGTATACGACAACCGCATATATCCATGGAGCGATCCGAAGCAGCCCAATTGAGTCCGGAGCTCGATAGATATAAAAGCGATACTGTCGCGAGGGCGAGGTTCAAGATCAAGGACAACAGACACCGGATAGCCATAAAGTTTGATCCTCCAGTGTACGTGCCTCCGCTTGAGCTTTTACGTATCTCGCTGATTTCTCGATAGNNGTCTGGGACGCATATTCTGTTGAAGCTACAGACACCATATGTCAACAAGAACATTGATATACAGACCGTCATGGCGACTGGCTTCGCTGGACCGAGATACTTCCCTGTAATTCAGTTCAAATGATGGGCGGATGCAGTAGTTGCAAGTACGGATATATATACGCAAGAAGCCCTTCAAGGGTGATCTATCTACGGCTCGATGAGCCAAACCCGGTGCTCTCGTACCTCGACGACGATGGTGTAGGAGAGCTCGAGCCTGTACTGCCACCCCAGCCACCACTATTAGATCTGCCAGCATTGCGTGAACTGTTTGCTCTGTTGCCGGCCATGTATCCTGCGGCGGCACCTGCTGCAGCTCCTGCGCCGGTACCAGTCCAGAAGCCGGGTCTCCAAGCTTGTCCGTTCTGTGTGCCGTAGTTGCGACCTGAGCTCGACTTGCCATATGGTGTATAAGGTGGTGGTGCATCATCTGTTCATGTTAGCATTTGCAGATGACCACTTTTGAAGCTCGTCTCACCATTGTTGTCATCATCACCACCCCAGCCACCTCCAAAGCCACGACCTGCGTGCGGTGGACGTCTGTTGTTTCCCCTAACGCACGAATCCCACACTCCGTAGACAATCATTCCTGCAACAACTGTGATATCTCTGTCAATCAACGCAGCATGGAGAAGAATAAGCAAAAACTTACACGTGAAGAAAGCCCAAAAGATGAGTTTCTCGCCAGTCGAGGAAGGTCCAGTTCTCTCGTCACCATCCGTTCTGTGACCATACTTCCTTTCGCCCTCCTCGGTAAGCACGAGCCGGTAGCTCACACCACAGCTCCCCTTCAACACATACGGATCCTCGGGCGAATCGTAGCCTTCACACGAAACATCTGTACTGCCCAACTTGAACTCTGGAGGTAGAGAAGCCTTGCAAGTCCATTGTACGTTATCGTCGTCGTAGTCGGAACCAGCGTTAGTGCAGCGCATCACGTCTACACCGTAGAGACCTCGTGCGTTGCCACCCATGCATTGGAGCTGTGGAATTGGGGAACTACGGCGAGCACTAGTTTTCTGTCCGGCTCGCAAGGTAAGACTGGAGATTTTGGAGAGGAGAACGCTGTCGGATGGTTTGCGGAGGGCTTGTGATAGATTCAAGCCTGAGAGGAGGGCTAGTAAGAGGGCGGACAACCGCATTGTGGCGGTGTTTTTCCAGGTGGAAGCTTGTAGCAGTGTGTCGATATTCAACAGACAGATGTTTGCTTCCTGTGTATTGTAAACCCTTGATAAGTTTTGTTCTTGAAGAGTGGCGAGGACACGGTGGCAGTGCGACAAATAGTGGCTGAATTAAACAGAAGCTGAAGTGGTTGCCTGGCTCGGCGTAACTCACGGCACGCTGGACGAAAAGCAGCATGTCTCGATGCTTCCAATCGCTTATCGTTGCCCGCCCAATCAGCTTCCTACAGTCAGACTACAAGTCGCGATTTGGCCTTTGTCTATCATAACCAATGAAGCAAAGGATTACATACTTGTTGCACGAGGCTGGCGGAGTCGATCCTGCGACACTGGACGTCAGTAACGACTCGATAAAGTTGCCAGGACTTAAAGCCGCCAAAGAATGGAGAATTACGCTGGGCACGCGAGAACTGCCAAAAGAAGTATGGAGATGCCTCCCCTGTCGAGCCTCTTCGAAATCGAACAGTCAAGCTAACGATACCTCCAAGGTTGTCGATGCACTCGAACAAAGTCATGAAATACACATACGCTGGTCTGCCGAGTGGAACTACGATTCCGTAACACCATTCTCATCAAAAGTTCCGTCTGGCTTCCATGTTTTCTATACCCCTGGAGAAAATGCATCTACGTACGCCTGATGGATTTTACCTTTGGCTTAATCTCATGCTGAATGAATTAGGGATACACTATGTCCGTTGCTTGGCAAAGTCTTTGGTGAAATTGTTGAGTGTTCATCCGTAGAGGTACTACCTCTCCTCTCGTTGGATCATGTTGAATAACATACTGACTACCCATTTTCCATCCAGAAGTCATTCTCAACTCCCCAAATCTTGTCTGAACGCTTTGCTATGTCCGCAAAGTACCAGTACTACAAGCCCCTAGCGCGTCTAACAAAATTTATCGGCTATATCTCATCAACTCTCTGCGAGCCGTCAGACGCAGCTTGCCATGCTCAGATCACATCTCTTGCTCAAGCCAGCTCCTTGGATATCGACTATGACGCAATATCTCACGCGCTTCGTGTCAACGCATACTGGGACTGGGCTGTGGCAGCCGATGGCACGCAAGGCGTTTGGGATGAGACTTTGCGTCTGCAGCCCTCTTCAGATGCTCTCGAAGTTGGCATATTGAATGTTGAGAAGCCGACTGAGGAAGGAGAGATTGCATTGAGTGGGCTGCTGACTGTGGTGGGCGAAGACACAAAGCCTAGTGCGACCATGTTTTCCTTCCCATCGAGACATCATGCTGCGTCAAAGCAGTCTGCAGAACTAACTTTCGAAACAACCTTCCGTCAACCGACTGGACTGCATCCTACATTGGAGCTCAAGTTTCCTGGAAATGTCCTCGTACAACCAGATGAGTCTTGTGCATTGCACGCTTATCTGACATTACCATCCTCGGTCTTTATAGACCGCTACCAACTCTCGGATCCTCTGTTCCTCGCATCGCAAAATCTGGTTGCTCTGCGCAGTCTCAGCGGTGCCACTGACCTTGAAGCTCCCGTCTGGACAACGCCGCAGTGGGGCTCGGCAGCACTTCTTGAGCTCGCACATCCCGAGTCGCCATCGATAAGCAACGACACTTGGACCGTGACGGTTCCACTGCACACACGCTACATGCCACCCTCCACAGATGGCACACATGCTGCACACATCCCCTGGCCAGCAGTTTTCTGGGCTTGTGAAGCCGAAGACGGACTGAAGATGGCCGTAAATCCATTCGATCGCACAAACATTGGTTATGATGGGCTCTTCGGACCCAAGACTTTGTTCCATCATATTGGTGCTTCGGCTGAGACGAAGACATTGATGGAGACGCTCGAAATACCCGTGTTAGACGAAAGTAAGACTAGATTCGTCGAAGTGGGTACCGGAGTTGCTGTGTTGCTCGGTTTCTTATGGGTGATGTGGTGTTTGGTCAAACCATCTGGAACAGCAGTTGGAAAGGCTGGTAAAAAGGAGTAATCGGCACTTACTGAACATTACACTCTCGATTGTTCATAATGGCTGATTTAGCATTATCAGAAGAGGTGGCATAAACATACTTGTTCTCGTCTCATCTGCTCGATTGATAAGTGATCAGGTGTATAGTCACAGTAACTCTCTATCATGGCTACATGCTACGATGAGAGAGGTCGGATATGAGGCCTCAATGAATCCTAGCATGTCGGGTGGATCAATACTCCGGCTTCATGATCGGCGGTATATCATTAGCAACTACTTACTGGAATGTTCTAGAATATAACTCCGAATGACCAAGAGGAGTTAGGATCTCTCCAAACAACACGATATATTAGTTGAGAGCGCTTGGTGTGCGACGTAGTACCTAAACAACCAGACGACTGCTAGGAAATAATCCACTGCTCTGTGGTGGTTTTAGAAAATCAAGAGAACAATCGAATGCTACGGTCTGTACTTGCGTGGATGCGTTCTACGTGCATGAGGCAGATAACTTGAAAGGACGCGTATGCATTGAGTCGACAAGGATCAATGGTGGCAGGCTATGTTACATACAAGATCTCGATAAACACAACGGATGCCCATGTAGCAAGACCGAGGAACAAGACGAGGTTAATAATAAAGATAGCAAGGGTCCCTCGGGTATTCTTTCCGCCGGTCAAAGAGCCGCGAGGTCCGTATTTGGGTGGTCTTACAGTGACTTGACAAGACTCATCTGTTGTTGAAACGTCGAACGACACGGAAAGGTCTACCATCAAGCCCATGTTCGCACATTGTGTATGTTGGAATCTGAAGCTAAGGATTAAAGAATGGAGGATGAGTGTCGGAGTACACGCAGCACATAGAAAGACGCCAGCGGAGCATGTGGAAAACAGCCGCCAGATGAAAGAAGCTTCGACGATGCATGTACATACGCAGCACGCAGAGAAGGTGGAAACGAATACTCGAACCAGGCGGGTTCGACAAATGGCTCGGTGATCGGGAGAAAGGTGAGGTCCGGCGGCATCAATTGGAAGTAGACGATCTTTGGGTGCCTGAGAATCGAGAAAGCTTTGACCTTCTGGCACCTGTGACGTGCGTGCCTGCCCGCAGTCTGAAAATCGCATAGCATGAGCGAAAGGAAAGAGCGACGACGAGAAAGAGATTTCTGCCCATCGCACCTGACATTATCGACGTGAACCGCACACTCTCCGCGACTTCTGCGTCTACCTCAACAATCCATTGCGCAGCGAGACACACGCAGCTTTCTTCGCGCGCAGAGAGACACGGAACTTGCTAGACCGGACAAAAGACTCATCGCGTTGAACACTCGGCCCTGGTCTGAGGCCTGATCTGACCTGACCGCAAGACCACCCTTCACACGACAATGCCCACTGGATTGGACAGACGATAGGCAATTCATTCGTGCTTGACAAGACTTCTCCATCCTACGCTTATATCAATCGCGTCGCTACCACTTTCCCCCGTCAGCCATTGCGACGGGCACCACTCAGCATCTACCCGCTGCCAGTGACGACTCGCCTCAGCCATACAAACGACAAAATGCAGGCCCAAGCACGCTCCCGCAAGCGTGCGGCCGACGGCAGTGCACAGGACGCGACATATCCGTACTCGCAGCAGATCCAAGACGCTTCCTTCGGCGTCAACGACCCTCTAGCGCAATACCGCAACCCTCTTCCGAACGACGTGTCCAACAACTTTCCCGATTTTCCACCCTACGACAACTCGATCAACAACGCGAATACCGGCGCCAACTTTTTCCCTGCCCAAGTCCCGACAACTCAGGCGCCCGCATTCGGTCAACCTGTCGCTCCTCCTTCGAATCAGCTCGTACGCAGGAATACCAGCCAGCAACTAGCTCGCACACCTCAAAGAAACCAATGGAGTAATTTCACCAACCCGACTGACCGTGTATGGGAGGACATGGAGCATGAAGAAGAGCAGGACTTGGACCAGAAGGCTGCCATCGCGNNAAAAAAAGACGCCCAGGCCAAACGAAAACAAATTCCTCCATTCGTACAAAAGCTCAGCAGGTACGTTTGTCAAACACCTCCTGACCCTCTATCTTGATTGAGCCCCCGCTAACATGCATGCAGTTTTCTCGACTCGTCCAACAACACTGAGCTTATTCGCTGGTCAGACGATGGCAACTCGTTCATTGTTCTCGACGAGGATGAATTCGCACGTACCTTGATCCCTGAGCTGTTCAAGCACAACAACTACGCTTCATTCGTGCGTCAGCTTAACATGTACGGCTTCCACAAGAAGGTGGGTCTCAACGCCAACTCGATGAAAGCTGCCGAGAAGAAGGTCAAGGATCCCAGTGTGTACTGGCATGAGTACTTCAAGAGAGGCCGACCTGATCTGTTGTGGCTGATCCAAAAACCTGCGGCCAAATCTTCGAGCTCCAAGAGGAAACGAGACCAAGAAAAGCGCGAACCAGGCGATAGTGATGACGACCACAAGAACTCACCCGACGCTGGAGACGGAGCCGCAACTCTTATCACAACTCTCCCGCGGCAGGACATGGGCACTTTCCGGACCGAGTTGCAAAAACTGCAACGTCAGCAAAGTGTCATCTCCAAGATGATCACGTCGCTCAAAGATCAAAACGAGCAGTTTTATCGTCAGGCAACTGCTTTCCAGGCTCTCCACGACCGGCATGAAAACTCGATAAACGCCATTCTCACCTTCCTGGCTACCTTTTACAACCGCAGCTTGGATGGACATTCTGGCCCCCCTAATTTGGCCAGCTTCCTCAGCAGTGCTTCCGTTCCGCAGCAAGCCCAGCAACAGGGTAGTGTCTTTGACATGGGCGATGGCGACATGAACGAAGGCAGTGCCAACACTACAAACAATCAGCAACTGCAGCGCTACCAAAAACGACCCTTACTATTACCCGCACCCGGTGGGCAAAATCTTTCTGCCTCACCTTTCTCAAATGCCACTCCTTCTGTCCGCTCGTCGACCAGCCCTGGCCCTTTACAACAAGGCCAGCAGCCAACACAGTATGGACCGCGTCCTCCCCAACCGCGACCCCATCAACAACAACCACAAAGGGCCTCAGTCACCCCTGTGATCAAGGACGACGCACCCACACCCGACTTGTTAAACCAATACCCAGAAAATGACGACGTAATGAACCTCATTCACAATGTAAATGCCAGCAACTCACCGAATAATGGCGGTGTTGCCGGAGACTACGATATCAACAGCGCACTGGATCACTTGCAGGCTGTCAACAGCAGTAGCACACTGACCCCACAACAACGGGAAGACATGCTCTCGATGATAGCAGCATCGGGGGCTACAGGCCCAGGCGCCACCGCTGCTCAGCCCGGTGCCAACAATGCTCTTATGATGCCCAACCCACCAGCAATGCCATCGCTCGAGGCGCTCAAACAAAATAATGCGCAGCTCGAGATGCTATCCAAGATGCAACAAGAGCAAGACTCCAAGGTAGCAGATCTTGCAGGACGTTTGCAGCCTCTCTCACCGACAGGTGCTATACCAGGCATCAATGCCAACAATTTTGAAGAGTTGGGTAATCCAGGCGATTTCGATATTGACAACTACCTCGAGGATGGGTACTTTGCGAATCTCGGAAACCCGGATGCAACGTCTGCGCCTCAGCAATCGACCTATCCAATGACATCTGCGCCGCCACAGGGCATCAACGATGACTTGGGCTTTAACTGGGATTACGCGCAGACGAATGGCATGCCTGACACAGACGACCTGTTCGGTGATGTTGGGGCAACAGGAGTCAATGATGGAAGTTTGGGCATAGATGAGCGTGGAGGCAGAGTCGTTGGCAGCGTTAGTTCCGCAGGCACGAGTCCACCCGACGCGACAAAAGCAGCAGGCGATGAAGAAGAAACACCGAGTAAAAAGCGCAAGACGGGCACTTAGTTTGGGCACGATGGAACGCAGCTAGAGTTCAATGGCGTTTTCGGCAGGAGCTGATATGGGCTGATAAGCTTTCTTTCGTATTTCTCTCTCTATTCGATTAGAGCTACCAGCTAGTATAGAAGCTGGGATACTACCATTCTCTTACTCCTCTCTTGACCATCTTCTGTTTTTTTCTTGTGGCGCAATCCAGTCTCCTGTCTTTCATGGCTTCCACTTTTGGTACCTACCGATCACAACTTTGTTTTTGATGATCCCAACCTCGCGCTCTCCCTTCTTGCCAGTGTGATGTCAAATAATGTCGGGGGGGGGGGGGGTAAATGCACCATCTTGGTGGTACAGCAAAATTTGTGGATGGGTATGGTGTGGGCCTCAGTGGTTCTCACATCTCACATAGCGTGATGTCGAAATGCAACGATTGAGCCATGAACTCAGATTTCACTTGAATAAAATCAGACTCTTGATGCCTAAAGATGTCTTTTTTAGAATTAACGAACCTAATTCACCTTGTTCAAAGGTAGGAACAGCATATTGATGGTTTAGAATGGTGGTTAAGGGTGTGACCCTGGCTAGATCAGAGTCCTAATGTCGCGGGTTCAAAAATGGTCACAACCTGTCTCATGGTTGTCGAGTCACTGAAAACAAGATGTGAAGTCGGATTACTTGTAGATGTGAGACGTGAACCAGGCATCCGAAGTAGAAGCTATGGCTGAATAAGACAAGGAGATTAGAACGCCAAAGAAATGCAACGAGTAGCCCTCCCTTTAACCCAGGCCGTGTATAAGACTACTCCATAAACTCCTTGTAGATAAAACGCCACTTGAGAGCACAGCAGCCGTCATCATCAATTCCATTCTCTAGTACGAATGGCTCATTTCTTCTTTCTGAGAGTCTGGCCTTCACCAGAGAAGAAGTGTTGCTTCTTTTGTTCTTCTTGTGTCTCATCCTTCTTTTCAGGCTTGGGCTTGACTTCGTAGCCAAAGAAGAGCTTGTTTGGATCCAGGCGCAGGGGTTGGGGACCATTTCTGCGGGCTTGAGGTTTGGCCAGGCCAGGAATACCGACTGTTTCTGCGGGTGCTGGGGTTGATGTGCCGGTAGATGAAGGAGTTGCGGTTTTGCTGCCTTTCTTTGCGACTAGACGGTGGCCTTGTGAGAGGAAGTGTGAGGCGGCTGCTGCGTGGCCGGTCGCTGCGTCTGTGCTGGCCGGGGCGATGGCCGAGTAGTTGATAGCCTGAGCCATGGTTCCTTGTGTGTGCATGGGTCCACCCATGGCTTTGACCTGAGCAGGAGTAGAGGTACCACTGTTGCGGTCAGGCTCGACATAGCCGACGGGTGTGGCAAAGTCGACGCTCAGATCTGTTTCTTGGACACTGATGGAGTGAGAATCCTTGTCTGGTTTTACTTCTAGAACGGCGACTTCGTGGATCTGGTCGACGTAGTTGAAGGAGAAGATGTCGCCCTTTGTCAGGCACGAGTAGCTGCGGAAGACGTTTTCGAGGACGGCCTTGGGATCGGAGATGTCGAGGAAGGCCGGGCTTTGGGGCTGCAGCTTGATGAAGGAGCCGGAGGGCAGGTCGGTGGACTTGATCTGCAGGAGGTCGCCGGGGTCGAGCAGGAGCGAGCGCATGATCCAGTTGGGCAGGTAGATCTTGCCCTCCTCGGCGGTGAACTCGAGGACACCGGCATGCGTCTTTGTCTGTTTTGCGCCGTTGATGAGCTCGAAGAGCATGGGGTAGGTGATGTGCAGTTGGGTGAGCTTGTCCAGGGCAGAGGCGGGCAGGTAGACCTTGCCGCCGTGGATGACATCCTGACGGTCCGTCTTCATCAGCACTGGGTAGCAGCGGTAGTATTCGTCGAAGCGGCGAGGGCGACCGCCTCGCGACAGCATGGCCTGGTTGTACATGGCGAGTGGATCGTGATGATACATGGTGGATGTGCAGTGGTGATGGTCGTCTTGTTGTCAACTGAGAGAGACTGAAGGTGTCTGTCTTGTGAAAGTCTGGAGTCGCCCATGACGAAATCCGCCCTTTCGTCTGTGTCCAACTCGCACATCCACAACTCACTTTGTACCATTTTTATCAGATATATTCCAACAATAGTTCTAATACACCTGTCATTCTTTGTATTTCTCTAACAGTTTCTTGTTCAATAGATGTGCTAATTGTGAATTGCTTGTATACTGCTATCCATCAAGCACAGACCCATGACGCACGATTCGACATAAACACAAAGTGCTCAGCTCCCCGATTCATCTACCAAACACATCAACTCGACTCAACATGACGGGCGGTCGCAACATGTCTGGCGGACATCAGACTATCCCTGCTGGTGGAGTCCGTCCCAAGCGCACCGCCGAAGCTTCCGATCGCTACATCTCTCCCGAAAGCAAAAAGCCGCGATTCGACCACCGCAACCCTTCGACTCTTGCCCCTGATGCCCCAGAAGAAGACGCCATCCTGGAGCTGGACGAGATCGGAAAAGGCGGTCTGCAGACCAAACGCAATGCCGTGAAACTCGATGGTTACGAGAGCGACAGCAGCGACGACAACTTCGAAGCCAGAGCAGATGAAAAGGCAGAGCTTGCCAAGCAGGAAGGAAGATCTCACAACGGAAAAGGCCCCAAAAATGCTGGCTGGGATGCACGCGGCCAGGACTCTGGAAAGTCAAAAGACGAAGATGAGATGGACATGTTTGCCGACGTCGACGAAGGCACCGGAGGTGTAGGAGGTACCGCAGATGGCGACGACGACGAAGAGCTCAAGGGCGAAGGCAAAAAGACCAAGAAAGATGTACGATTTATGGATATCGACGACATTGAGGGCCAGGTCCATAAGAGCAAGTCTGGCGGCCACGTTCGCGCCGATTTCACTCTCGACCCCAAGGGCAAGTCGCGTGCCGAAGACGATGCAAGCGTCGAGAGCAGTAGTGAGAGTGGTAGCGATTCAGAACGCGACCGTCTGGACGACGAGAACGAAGATGCCGAGGAGTTAGGTGCTGGCAGCAAGAAGAAGCACGCTCCCAAACTCGATGCCTTCAACATGCAGCAAGAGGGTGAAGAAGGTCGTTTCGACGAAGCTGGAAACTTTATCCGTAAAGCAGTTGACCCAGACTCCGTTCATGACAGCTGGCTAGAAGGTCTGAACAANAAGGACATGAAGAAGGCCAAGGCCGCCCAAGAAAAGCGAGACGAAGAGCGAAGGAAACAAACTGCTGCCGATGACGCTCTGCTAACATCCGATCTGCTGTCCACACTTATCACACATCTCCACAAGGGCGAATCAGTGCTCGAAGCTCTACAGCGCCTCAACGCAGCCGCTCCCAAGTCAAAGCAGAAGAAAGTACCAAAGTGGAAGCANAAGAAGCTAGCCGCCAAGTCGGATGCTATGGACGTGGATGCAGACGGAGGTGCTCAGGAAGACACGGCTGAGAAACGCCGCGTAGCTGCCGTCGAGGCCATCACCGCTGCTGCAGATGCCATATTCAGCCGCAACAATCCCGACATTTACGACCACGAACGCGAACTGCTACAGCGTTTATACAAGCGTGAAACTGGCGAAGATTGGCTCGATCCCGTCGTCGAAACACCAGCAGATGAGAACGCCATGTTCGAGTTCCGTTGGGTAGATGCTCGAGATGGTGGACAAACGCATGGTCCTTACGACAAGAACACCATGCGCGCATGGCGTGAAGCTGGATACTTCGGTCAAGAGGCTGAAGTAGAGTTCAGACAGGTTGGCTTGGATGGCTGGTCAAGAAGTGCGGATTTTGATTAGTCACCATCACGATTCTACTGATATGACCTGTATTCACCGGACAAGAATACCATGTCAGGAACGACTCAATTTGTCTGTGTGACTATATGATACATTATCAATCAACCAGCTTCCTCGCCTATCGATCGAAGAAACGGCTGGCTCAGCCATCCGGTCCATCTCAGCCCAATTCGAGCCACTCAGACTTCTGAGAGTCATCCATCTCTCTTGCGAGGTCTAGTAGGTGGGCGTGGTCGTGGTGAGCGCGGTCGTGGAGAGCGCGGTCGTGGAGCCGCAGGCAATGGCGGCGGAAAACCTCGTCTGTCAGGGACAGGAGGCGGAGAGGGGGGTGGTGTTCGAGGTCCACTTAGACGAGGCTCTGTAGGTCGCCTCATTGGGAAGTGCCTGCCCCAAGTCTCTTGAGTTGTTCTTGCCGAACGTAGGAGAAACCAACGGACCCGAATCAACATCTAAATAGAGAAGTCTATGGAAAGAGCTCGAGGTGAGATCAAATCCAGTATCGCCAGAGACGTCTGTTTGCTTTTAGTTACTGTGTATCACATCAATAGCTCATTGCCAATCAAGAGCCATGCTGGAAGAGCAGCCAAGAGAAGATATACACGTAAAGCAATGATTTCAAAAGCAAACATATCGAACCACGTTACAACAGGAAAGAAGAAGGGCTCGCACAAACACTCTGATCTCAGAAGAAAAGTGACGTGGCCAATACTGGGCTTCCAAGAACTTGGAAGAAGCCTCTAAACAAGTAGCAAACATTCTGTTGCTGAATCATGTGCAACCACCCCATTGATGCTTTGCTCGAAACTCCAGAGATATAAGCTCGTGCCTGTCACAGGCTGTCATGGTGACTTGCACACAACCCGGTCACGAAGCTAGGAGGGGTGGCTGGCAATGGCAACATGTCAACCACCTGACCATACCGTCACTATTGCCAACGACGCAAAACGATACTGACTTGATCCTTTCGCGGTTGTTGAAGCTGATGATGTGTTTGCAGTGTTCAACAGCACATCTGCTCATCATGGGCCCTCCAAGGGTAGTATATAACGACTCTGTATCTTTGATGGAAAGACAGGCAATTCATCAACAGCGAGTTACAAAGAGGTCGCAAGACAATTCTGATGTACGAACCTGGACAACTATTCTAGCACACTCTACGACTCAAGACAGAGTCTTCAACCCAGATACTCATATCGAAGCATATCTTTTGCAACAAACGCCGGTGCAAAG